ATTATATCCCGACGAGCCGTTGAATGCGGTTCGTATTCTCGAGCCTTGTTTCACTGGGAACAATACTTTCGCCAGCAGCGAGACAAGAAAGCGGCGTCGAAGCAGCCCTTCCCCGAGAAAGACAGTTTGCTGCAACATTTACAAATGATCTATGCGCATATCGACGAGCCGGACAGCATTGAGGGGATATCGGCCCATCTCAAGGTCCTCAATCCTGAGCAGCAGATTATCGAAGATCGTAAAGCTGGACGGTGGACAGCGGCTCAGAGTTGGTATGAGATTGCACTTTCTGAAAAACCGAACGATGTTGAGACTCAGATTAACCTTCTCACCTGCCTAAAAGAGTCTGGTCAATATGGTGAGTCTGAATAAGTGAATTCCATGAAGAGTAGCTAATGCTCGTTCAAGACTCAATCCTCAATTACGTGGACGGCTTCCATGCGACTAACTCGCTTTTGAGTAGTACATTGCCTTTCGCAGCTGAAGCAGCTTGGTCTACTGGTAAATGGGAACAACTCGATCGACTTCTTGGTACAGTTAATGTCGCAGACTCGAATCTTTTCATAGATTTCAACGTTGGACTAGGCCGAGCGTTGTCAGCACTTCGTCACAAGAACCGTATCGAGTTTCAGGCCATTATTGCAAAACTGCGAGAAGTTCTGGCAAAGAGCATGTCCCCATCCACCACAGCTTCTGTACAAGCATCGCGTGAACACCTTGTGAAATTGCACGCGCTATACGAGATAGAAGCTGTAAGCGGTATGAGCAATGGGGTTGCGGCGGACCGTGAAGTTATCCTTGAGAACTTAGATCGCCGGTTGGACGTCATTGGAGCGTACACATCAGACAAACAGTATCTTCTGGGACTACGCCGTGCCGCAATGACATTGTCTCGGTGAGCAACCTGACCTGGCATATGTTGAGTATTGCTGACAGACAATAGCATCGAATTTACGAAACTCGACATCGCTTCGGCATGGCTTACAACAGGACGGCTGGCTCGTAAGGGAGGCTTCATGACGACTGCTTTCAATTCAGTGCTACACGCCGAGCGACTTGGAGATAACGCATCTAAAATCGAATATTCGAAGCTTCTTTGGAAAGAAGGTCACCATCGTAAGGCCATTCAAAACCTTCGTGGTGCTATCGACAGCAACGCGTTCCAGCGGGAGGACACCGTGCCCATCAACATCTCTATTACTACAGCCGGTCGAGGCGAAGGGCATTCCATGAACAAGGTTAAGTGCCATGCTCAACTACTGCTCGCTAAATGGCTAGATCGCGCAGGTCAGACCCAGTCGATGTCTCTGAAAGAGGAGTATGTAATTGGTGTGCAAACGTATCCCCGGTGGGACAAAGGTCACTACTACCTGGGTCGATGGTATCTGAAGCTTCTGGAGTCAGAGAAGCAGCAGCCAATAACAAAGCAGAGCTCCGAGTATCTCTCAGGAAGCCTGGTCAAGCTGGTCGTTGAGAACTTCACTCGCTCTACGGTGTATGGGACGAAGTACTACTACCAGACCCTGCCCAAGATACTTACGCTATGGTTGGACATGGGTATGGAAGTCACGCACAACATGCCCAGAACCACCAAAGATAAGGAGTTCCATGGGCATCGGCTCAACTACCTTGAACACATCAATAAATATGTCGCGCGCTACGCAGCAGAGCGAATGCCTGCATTTGCATGGTATACCGCTTTCCCGCAGATCATCACACGCATCAGCCATCCAAACAAGAGCGTTTGGGAGGCTCTCCAGGCGATTATCATCCGAGTCGCTTCATCGTACCCGCAGCAGGCGCTTTGGGCTCTATTTGCCGTCCTTCACTCTACACAGGATGACCGCAGAGCCCGGGGCACTGCCGTTCTGCAGAAACTGCGCGTAAGTTCTCGACCTGGTCAAGGTCAGAAACCAGCTAACAACAAAAAGGACGCAACGAAGCGCAAGGGAGCTTTCGTCGACCTCAAAACCCTAATTGGTCAAGGACAGCGACTTACTGATGCACTCCTGGCAGCTTGCGACGCTCCTATAGAGTCGCGAATAGCACGCGTGAGTCTTTCGAAGGAGCTGGGATTTAACCACAAGTTGGCTCCCACGCTTCTAGTGGTACCTGTTGAGGCCAATCTGCTTCCCAACCTGCCTGCTAGCAACGACAGCCAGTCCCTCCGTCGTTACAACCCATTCCCAGCCGACGCCATCACGATACAGTCATTTGATGACGATGTACTGGTCTTGTCGTCTCTACAGCGTCCACGAAAGCTCAACGTACGCGGTTCAGACGGACGCTCATACGGCTTACTTTGCAAACCAAAAGACGATCTACGCAAGGATCAGCGGCTCATGGAATTCAACGCCATGATCAATCGGGCTCTCCAAAAGGACATCGAGTCGAGCAAACGTCGCCTGTACATCAAGACGTACGCCGTGACACCTCTCAACGAGGAGTGCGGAGCCATTGAATGGGTCGAAGGCCTCAAACCCATGCGCGACATCATCCTTCGTTTCTACCGCCAACGCAACATTGCAATCGACTATACAGAGATTCGTCTATTGCTAAACGAAGCCTGCTCATCACCATCCAAAGTCACCATCTTCACTGAACGCATCCTCGGTAAGTTCGTGCCTGTGTTACATGAATGGTTCGTAGAGACGTTTCCGGAGCCAGAAGCGTGGTTCGCAGCGCGTCTTCGGTACACACGGTCTTGCGCGGTAATGAGCATCGTTGGGCACGTACTAGGTCTAGGAGACAGGCACGGTGAGAACGTTCTGCTTGAGCAAGGCGATGGTGGCACCTTCCACGTAGACTTCAACTGCCTCTTCGACAAGGGTCTCACGTTTGAGAAACCTGAACTCGTGCCCTTCCGCCTGACACACAACATGGTCGACGCCATGGGTCCCCAGGGCGTTGAAGGTCCGTTCCGCAAGGCCGCTGAGCTCACGTATAAGCTGCTTCGACAGCACGAAGACACGCTCATCACTATTTTGGAGACATTCGTGCATGATCCCACGGCAGACTTTCTGGGTGGTAAACGGAGGAAGAAGATTGTGGGTGTACCGGATACGCCGCAGGAGGTCCTTGATGTCACGCGCACAAAGGTGAACGGGTACTTGAAGGGGGAGAGTGTACCCTTGAGTGTAGAGGGGTACGTCGAGGCACTCATTGCTATGGCGAGGGACCCGCACAACTTGGCAGCCATGTACATTGGGTGGTGTGCTTTCTTCTAGGTGGTTCATCTTTTCAGTAAAAGCAGGCGTGGAGGAGTCATGTCGAGGGCGTTGTACAAATCACACTGAAAAAGTGTCAGCAATTGAAACTCCCCTTCATCTCAAATACCACTGCAGTACAAGCGAAACTATTAGTAGCCCTTTACGTGCCATGTGAAGACTGACTCTTGCATATACAAGATTGGCATTACAATACGTAATTGTAAAAAGTAGGTACTCCCATTCTCTTGAAAACGCCGAAACAAAGACTCGTAAGAAAAGGTGATGCTATCCAAAAGACACGCTCGAGCGGATATTCGTCGTATAGCCTCGTTGTGTGATGGATCTCAGCCCAATGCGTCCGCTGCTAACTTTGCACCTATTCTTAGCAGCACTTCCCACCCATGCCAGCGTTTCCACTGTCTTGCCCACCAACATCCACCTTGGGCACCGCAGTCTGATCCGTCCTTGCGGTGTCGATTAGCCTCTTCTTGATATCTCCGGCCAAGCTGTAAAAGGCCTGGTCGACGTTGATGTTGCTCTTGGCCGAGACCTCGAGGAAGGGAATGCCAAGTTCGTCAGCGAGGGCCTGGCCCTGTTCTGTAGAGACGGCGCGCTTCTCTTCCCAATCGCACTTGTTGCCAATAAGAATCTTGTTGACACCCTCGGTGGCGTGTTGCTCGACGTTGGAGAACCATGTGCGAATGTCTGTTGCCCAGTGTTAGCCTCTAGTATCGATGCCCGCTTGTTGCTGTGCTATGCAGGATACCCAGCGGAGACGTACTGTTGAAGCTCCTTTCATCTGTAACGTCGTAGACCAGCAGAATGCCCATAGCGCCTCTGTAGTAGGCCGTGGTGATGGTCCGGAAACGCTCCTGCCCGGCGGTATCCCATATCTGCAGCTTCACGCGCTTGCCGTCGAGCTCGATGGTGCGGATTTTGAAGTCGATGCCGATGGTGGTGATGAACGAGGGCGTGAACGAGTCCTCACTGAAGCGCAGCAGACAGCATGACTTGCCTACGCCCGAGTCGCCTATGAGGAGCAGTTTGATCTACGTGGGGGGGAAGTGTTAGTGTGGGTCTTGGTATACAAGCGGTGGAGGGGCGCTCAGGGTCCAGCAAGTACGGGGTAGGGCGAGCTTACGAGAAAGTCGTAATTCCTGGATCCAGCCATGTTGGTGTAGGGCGGCGATATGCGTTATCGGTCGGTGCGTGGTATGCGGAGTTGGCGCCCGCCGGTTTGGGGTATACGGTGAGCTGGCTTCCTTTGGCGGTTGCACGAGGATGCCGGTGATGTACGCTCGACTCGACAGTGCAAGGTGCAGGCGATGGGTTTCGGTCTTGGGTATATGTCTGTCGCTGTGTGGTCAACAGCAGGCAGCGAAGTGAATGGCGTTGGAGTTCACAGGTGCCAGCCAACGTTGGACGTTAGCGCCAATAGTCCGCACGGGCTCACCACCTTCGTCACTGTCGTCCGCAGCGAGTGATGAGAGGCGGATTGGTGGCAACTGCGCTCTGGGCCCGACTCGGCTCTGACTGCCGGCATCACGACGCGAACCACAAGACATGGTCATGCTGTGGTGCCTGGTGTAGAAAAGAAAGGTAGGTCTCTCGTGTCGCCCTGCACCTTGTCGCACCTAGGCGGCTTTGACCCTCACATGCTCGACTCACGCCTACTGGAGAATACGATTCGCAGTGCACGAACTTGCTCGTAAATTTGTATTCAAGTGGGTATGTACGCTGATCATAAATGTGCTTTTACCGGGTCATCCCAGTTGCAAAAGACATGCTTCCTCAAGTAAACCATTTTGAGTACGCCCACCGGATACGCTCGACTACTTTTTGCTGTCGCTGCAGCCCACTCCGCACATCAACAAGCTCATCTATCTCCACCAACAGGTCGTGGAAGATGCGTCGCGGTAGGATTCCACTCGCAGCTTGTCGCAGTAGATGCACTTCGCAAAGAAGGAGACCGTAGTCCTTGTAAGAGATCTCGCCATCCTCGGTAGCGGTCGCGCTGGTGAGGATGCGATCAATGTTGCGTAGGATGAGCAACATGCGACCCTGCCTTGCCCACATCTGCACGCCTTTACGGCTACTAAACACACCTCGAAGGTATCGGTACACGCCAATACTGACGAGTACACCGGGCGTCAGACCAATAAAGCCAAAGAGCAATTCTTGACTCTTGAGGATGCTGTCGATACCACTCATGGCAACTTCCACATCGACCTTGGTTTTCTGCACCTGGATGAGGAGTGCGCTAGCGAGATTACCAACTATAGCTCCTTTGACTGGGCTTTGGATGTCCTTCTCGTACGATCTCAACACCGTTGTTAGGTCGCCCTCGCGAACTTTGGCTCTGATGTCGGCGATCTGTGTCTCGTTCAGTGCTGGGCCTTCGGGGTTCTTCACAGCAAAATCAACAACCATGCGCTCGAGGCTTGCACGGTCAGATTCCAAACTTCGTTTGCTCATGATGGAAACCTCGCTGTCTTCATTGTGCCGGATGGTACCGATGATTCTCATTGCAGGCTCCACGACCCAGTTTGTCCAAAAGTCAATCACAGTCTGTCCTAATTCCCGTACCCAGGTCAAGATTTCCTCTTTCCGGTTGACGAAGATGCGCAGGATAGTGGTTGAAGATACAAGGAGCATAGTGGCGGGAAGCCAGTACCGGATGATCAGGGATGGACGTCCGTTTTCCTTGACCACAGCATTGAAGTTTGACGTGTAGGTAGGCAATGCGTCCCGGAGTAGGTACTGGAGTCGCTCAGCGACGTCTGCCGGCTTGAGTGTGCTTGCTGTGCGCTCTCCAGTGGGTTCGTGCAGGGAGTAGAATTGATCGTCCTGTGTGATGCTGGCCACCGAGTCGTCGAACTTATCAACGGAAAGCTCTGCCGTGTTCACGCTTTGGATGACGGCATCCATGAGGGCAATGTTCTTGGACATGACGCTCTTCCATCTATGTCCACTTTGTGTTCCGAGGAGCGTGGGCGACTGGGTGCCGTCGTCGTGTACACTGGAAAGATTAGCAACAGCCGTATCCCGCAATGAGCTTATGACATACCTCTCGTTACCCAGGCCTTCGCCTAGCAGCACGCCGAGCGCGTTTGCGTTGGTGAGTCGTATCTTCCTTAAGGCGGCCCGCTTCTTCCTGCCTTCATTTCTCACAAGCGCTAGTGGGCTCACGACTCTTCGCTGGATGTTGGCGATGCTCCGCTCTTGCACTGCGTCTTTGACGAGGCCGTAGAACTGGCTCCATCCATCGGCCACCTGGCCGCCGCGCGACAAGACATCGTGGTATATCTCCTGCGACCATTTCCATACGCGGACTGGAGATGTTTGTATCGAGTATAAGCCAGCGAATCGGTAGGTGGAGAGAATGTCGTCCCAGTACCACAGGTCGTCTTCCAGCGGGATGGTCTGCTCAAGTATCGTACTCAAGACCTGACCGTATACCTGTGTCGTCGCCTTGCTGACTAGCAGCCATTCCAGCTCGTGCTCGTAGCTCGCATCCTCGTAGCTGCTAGCAATGTTGGCACGTTGTAGCGCCTCGGATATGCGCGCGACGGGGACAAGGCTGTGCTTGGATGACGCAGTCGTAGAGAGAGACTTGATGAGATTTTGCAGATGTGCGATTCGTGAGGTCTTGGTGGGGTTGTGGGCTTCCTCGGCGGTGATGGAAAAGCTGCCTGCTCGCGTGGCTGACAGCTGCAGCCGATCGAGCTGGCTGTCAATTCGTCGCACCTGGCTGCAATGCGGTTAGCCAGAGTTACAATACGCCGCTCCAATTGCTCGACTTACTCAACCACGAAAGACATGGTTACCGGCGCGTCGACTTTCACATGGAGGATGCGGCGGGATTCTTTTGGTACGAGGAGGGGATCGGAACCAGGATGACGCGCGCCCGCCCGCCGCCAATGACGTTCTAGAGCCTGCCACCAAGCACAACATTCCCGACGTTTTCACAACGTAACATTTCGACACAGATGAGGACGAAAAAGCATAGCGGCCGACATGTGATGCCTCCGTTCTACGTTGTTATTGTTGGTATCATGTTTCCTTGTTCAATTCCCATCGTACCTTCCAACGGCATATACTTCTAACAGGTCAACACATCGCATTCAACTATCCGATTCTGACTCAGGGACCAATCTGTCTAGGCGTTTCCCAAAAGCAAACATGGCAACACTTCCAACGGCTTCCTGACAATCTCCGGTGCCTGTACGCTCGAAACGTAGGCTGAGGCTAGCTGGCGACGCGAGCGCTCATTCGGACCGAAGGTTGATCTGCGACCTCATCCATATCCACGTCCACGGGACGCAATGCACTTGCTTCCTCGTCGGTGATGCGGGCGCTCATTGGTTCCAGGACTGGACTTGCTGAACGGGAGAGATCAAGTTGCGGCACAGTCAACCTGATACCGTTCTCTTGGTCAGGGGCTAGCAAGGTACCCTCGTCCACAAGCGAGTCGCGCTTTCTAGGGAGCTTCTGGCGCATCCCCAGTTCGTCTCCTACCATCTCGATGCTCTTGAAGTACTGTCGAGTGTCAACGTCGGGTCAGCTAACATGTGTATTGATGCAAGTACCTTGACTGTCTTGACCTGCAGCTCCAAGGTGGCGTCCTCGTCAACCACAATCATTGGGTGGGGGTGCATCTGCAGACTAGACAGTGTCCACATGTGATTCACACCACCTTCGATGCACCTTTGAAGGGCTAGAGCCTTGTGCGCACCCGTTATTATAATAACGACTTCGCGTGCCTGACGCCTGTGAGACTTTGCCAAGGTGCACGGTGATGTGACTTACATCCAGCACCGTCTGAACTCCAACTGTCAATGCCATTCTCGGCACTTGATCCAGATTGTTCCCGAAGAACCTTGAGTTGGCCAGAATGGTGTCGTACGCCAGTGTCTTCACACGAGTTCGAGACTTCAAGCTGGAGCCTGGCTCGTTGAAGGCAATGTGCCCATCTGGTCCGATGCCGCCTAAAAACAGCTCGATACCACCCGCACGCTGTATCTTCTCTTCATACTCATGGCATTCAGCTTCTAGGTCGGGCGCGTTGCCGTCGAGGATGTTGATGTTGTCAGGTTTCACGTCAACATGTGAGAAGAAGTGCTTGTACATAAAGCTGTGATAGCTTTCGGCATGGTCTCGTGGGATGCCGACATACTCGTCCTGGTTGGGTCAGCACCGCTCAACATCACGCTGCCGTGCTACACTGGGAACTAGGGTACTACGGCACATGCAGAGCGGCCCTTCATACCATGTTAAATGTGACCACATTGCGGAACGAGACTTGTCCCGCTTTGTGGCGCTGGACAAGATGCTCGTAGATTAAGACGGGACTGCTGCCAGTGGGCAACCCTAACACGAAGGGTTTCTCAGGTGTAGGGTTGAAGGCCTTAATGCGCTCTATGCTGAGGCGTTAGCTGATAACGAAACATGACAAGGGAGCAAGAGATGCACCAATGACATAGTCGGCGATGTATTGGGATGCAGATTTGGGGTCGTCTCTGATAATTAGCCGCCTACAAGCGGTAAGCAAAGGGTTAGACTTCAAAGGATTGCATGCTCATACATGATGTCTGTCTGTGCCACTGCGAGCGTTCTGTGCCAAGTGAGGGGTTAGAAGTCACTTTCCACAGCGGGCTGGCGATGGTTGTTATGAGAGTTTCAGCAGCTTCACGTCACTCTGGGTCAAGGTAGTATTGCAAGCTCGATCATCGTCCAAGGTCTCTTGGTCAACATGGACAGCGGCCAGACTTGCCGCATCTGAACACGTTCTCCAAAGAGTTCTCTGTATCGGCCCGCTTGCTCATGATGCGTCATGCGATGGACAGTTGGAGGTGAACGTGGTGGTACAACGCGCCTATCTGCACCAGCTGAGGGGCTGCTACCATGTGCAATGTTACAGGAGCATGGCAGGAGGAGCATGGTCATCCTCATCGGCCGTGATAGCAGTGGAAACCTGATCGAAAATGGGTCGCGTACTAGCCGTCACGGGCAGCCAGCAACGAACATCACGATAGCGAGCGTAATTGATAAGGCCGACGTGCTGATGGAGTCGCAGGAAGACGATGTTACATTTCTGACTCGGGGTGGCGGGCGGAGAGCGTTGCACTTGTGGCTGCAGTCCGGCGTGTTCTAGCTCACAGCCCTGTGCTGGGGGCCGGCGATTCATCAACCAACAGTGTGGTCCCAGACGCATGCAGATCCATGCATCGTCGATAAGCAGGCTTCCAACGCCCCGCTTTGACCCCCGAAGGCTGTCCCGAGAACCACTGACAACCGCGACCCGGACACCTGTAGCCGTTGCTCTGCTGCTGCTTACTGCATCGTAGTACGGCCTTGGGGTGCGGATACGGCTGATTGCTGGCGTTTGCCTGGGCAGTGCCAACGACGCCAATGAATCCTTCACCGACGGCTGTCACTTGTGGGCTTGCAGTCGTTTATCTCCTGAAGCCAGAGGGTGTCGCGTGCTATTGCCCGCCTCGCTACCCCAATGCAGGTTGGCTGGGGGAGATTTGGTCGTGAATGGACCGTGTGAAGACCCTAGCTGACCAGATGCTTAAAACCAAGTGCCCCTCGCCTTCACCCCATCCAAAGCTCGTTTAATTATAGCTTGCCATCATCGTATCTTGCCTGGTCTGAGCGCGAACATCTAGTATCTTTATTGTGTCCTGCCTGCTCACATCTTCCACACCATCGACGGCGTGCTTTTACCGTCTGTCAATTCCGATTCACGCGCTAAACGCCCACAACCCATCATCGCCTGGGCATCATCATGGCGACCACCGAGGAAAAACAGCCTCCACACGATGTCAACTCTCCGGAGAACTCGTTGACGGATACCAACACGCTTGATCTCCCACCTTCGTGGAAATACAAGCGCTTTACCGTCGCCGGTTTCAAGTTGCCATGGTTTGCATCACCACCTGTCCAACTGGTCATTGTTTCTTTCGTTTGCTTCATGTGTCCGGGCATGTTCAATGCTCTGAATGGCATGGGTGGTGGTGGCCAACTTGACGCAACCGCGAACAACCGGGCCAACACGGCATTGTACTCGACCTTTGCTGTTGTCGGCTTCTTTGCCGGCACCTTTACGAACAAGCTTGGCATCCGCACCTCTCTGTCTTTTGGCGGCGTCGGATACTCCATCTATGTTGCCTCTTACCTATGCTACAACCACACGCAGAATCTGGGCTTTACCACATTCGCTGGTGCACTACTTGGAGTATGCGCTGGTCTGCTTTGGTGTGCGCAGGGAGCCATAATGATGTCGTACGTCAGCCCTAAACATCTCTCTCGGTGTATACTAACAGCATCGTAGTTACCCACCAGAAGACTCGAAGGGCCGTTACATCTCATGGTTCTGGATGATCTTCAACTTGGGTGCTGTCATTGGTAGTCTGGTACGCTATCCTACCCTTGAGAACACTAAGAAATAGCTACCTATCAAGTACTAACTCTCCTAGATCCCATTGGGACAGAATATTCACACCAAGACTGCCGGTACAGTCAACGACGGTACCTACATCGGCTTCCTTGTCCTCACCATCCTCGGTGCCGCTCTCGCTTGGACTCTGGTCGACGCGAAAGACGTCATTCGTGACGATGGATCAAAGGTTATCGTCATGAAACACCCTTCTTGGAAGTCGGAGATCGTTGGTCTTTACCAAACCTTCTTCACCGACCCTTACATTATCCTTCTATTCCCCATGTTCCTCGCATCTAACTGGTTCTACGCGTACCACTTCACCGAGATCAATGCTGCATACTTCAACGTCCGCACCCGCGCGCTCAATGGTGTTGTCTACTACATCATGCAGATTGTCGGCGCCTACGTCTTTGGATATGCGCTGGACATCAAGGGTATCCGCCGTACAACTCGTGCTAAGGCCGTATGGGCTGTACTTTTCGCGACCATCATGATCATCTGGGGTTTCGGTTACATGTTCCAGAAGACCTACGACCGTGCCTGGGCAGAAGACGAGACAAACGAGAAGAAGGACTGGTCTGACGCAGGTTACGCTGGTCCCTTCGTTCTCTACATGTTTTATGGCTTCTCCGATGCCGCTTGGCAAACCTCAGTCTACTGGTAAGTTTGAAACAAGAGTTGATACATTCAGATCAGATCGCTAACAGAACTAGGTTCATGGGCGCCCTGACAAACAACAGCCGTAAGCTCGCCAACTTTGCTGGTTTCTACAAGGGTATCCAGTCTGCTGGAGGTGCCATTACATGGCGTATGGACGACACTAAGGTCGCCTACATGACAATGTTTGCCAGCAACTGGGGATTGCTTGCCGGCAGTCTGATTATTGCTCTTCCCGTAATTCTCTGGAAAGTCGAAGACACTGTCGCCATTGAGAAGGATGTCGCTTTTACCGACGAGACAGTCGCGGAAGTCGCTCCCAAGGCGATCGTCCACACAGCGCATAGCGATGCTGAGAAGGTCTAGTCCAATCATTGAAGGACACTCACGATTGAAACTTTATAAGTAATGACGGGGATTGGTTTACTTGTATTTGCTTGTTTATGATACCTCAAGTGGAGTTGCATTAGCGGGCCAGAGTTAAGGAGCTTGATTTCCTGACATTTAAACTTAGGCGGTCATTTACAGGTCTCTACATCACACCGTGGGTCACATGTTCCGTGGCACAGCATGCGGATTAATTTGACGCAGCCAGCGGTGCTACGGCACAGCAGCTTAGCTATATTCCTAATGAAAGAATATCCTTACAATCACTGTATGTGTCGTGCAAGGGTATGCAACGTAGTACTGTAAAGTTACTGTCTGGTACACAACAGCTGTTTTATGCCGCCAGTATCCAACCACAATCAATAGGCCTGGTAGCCTGATATCGGAATAATCTAAGCACCAGTGCAATATGCAGAACATTGTCAGCATCGAACGACCCGTCCAGCCAGCATGAATCGCCACGTATCTGCTCCAGAGGACCAAGAGCTCCGAGGAGCAAACCCTTCGCCCTACATACTGCATGAAAGCAATACGAGATACCACTCCTGATCGCTAATCGACCCTTCCAGACTAGCAAATCTCACAACAATCTGTGATTAGACCGGACCGAGGTCAGCAAAAGCGAACATTGCCACACATTCGTTCTCGACCCACAATCCGTCGAATACGATGTTCCAATGGATTCTTGGAAGTCCTCCAGTCCACATTCGGGATCGTCATTCCGATCAGAGCCATGAGGGAGGTGGTGGTTACATCAAGGTAGTGCAGCAGGGCACCTAGCTCCCTACCATCAGCTAATCCCGCGATCCTCGAGTCCTCGTTATGCAAGAAGCCCGGAAGTACGCTACGTAAATATCTAATGACAACACGGTCTTTTAGAAAAAACAATGGATATCCACAAGTGAGGTTGGATGCGATTGGACATTGCGCGCGCAAGCTTGCCTGCTCGGATCTGATCTGGTTGAGACTTGGCGCCAGAGACAGCGGGAGGCACGTGCTTCCCGCTCACTCCAACATCCCGAGGCCTCGTCAGCTCAACGTCGCGTGCAGTCCTGCTTGCTGCTCACACCAAAACACGTGCGAGGGACTGTGCGATGATCGCCACCACCGCATAACGCGTACAATCTGGTTGAATCATACCGCGGCAGATTGTCCACCGAAGTCCCATCACGAACGCTTAGGGCAAGATTTGCGGTCCCAATACGGCCTAGCGAGCGTAACGGTAGCAATGGCCGTCAGGAAACTTCCTACGAAACCCCACCAACGCTCGCCATGACAGTAACGCTATATTTCCGAATATCCATCCAGCGTGCCTGGCGCCAGCGACACGCCGTCGACTGCTGTTCGCGGCCAATACACCTGGCCTCCACGACTTCCTCCCCTGCTTCCCTTCTTCCTTTGGCCCCCGCGTTCACTCTTACGTGCTCGTCTGCCCTGCCTCAGCAGCGGGTCTCGCACGCCAGTCGTCGGAGCAATACCTGACTACGTCTGCTAGCGGATACAACCTCTTTAATGTTCTGACAAGCCATACAACTATGCTTAAGAGCCACCTGCGACATCGGTTCACTAATGCTCCCGGCCCGTGTCTAGCCCCCGTTCACTACGACATTCGCAGACTTTGACCTTCTTGCTGGGTTTTGCATTTTGAGACAACGCCTACAAACAACGTTCGTTATACATTTGAGAATCAGTCGTCATCGTCAACCATATTCACCGTGCCCCCTCCATGCCACCTCTCCGACTGAAACGCTTCAAGAGTGGCCGTGTCACCGTCGTCCCAGAGTCAAACAGTCCCCGTGACTTGCAGCAAGCAACAAACGAGGATAACAATCATTGCTGGTACAAACAGCGTATGCTCAATTTCTGGGAGGGACTTCTTGTAGCTTTGGAAAGAATCGCCATGTTACCATCGCTCTTGCACTCCGTGCTTCCGTCGTCAACCTCGCGACGTCGCGCGCGGGATGGACTTCGGACTTACGACCGGACAATGGACGATCTACTCCACGAAATTCAATGCCTACTGGAGGCACCATTGGGATCCGACAAGATGCTAGACATGTCTGCAAAGTTGCAGGATCAGTTTGCCCCAAGAATGCAGTCGAGCGACATATGCATGCTGCCATCGTACAATCACAAGTTACCTTCCGGTTTCGAAAAAGGAACTTATCTCGCTCTCGATGTCGGTGGCTCTACATTCCGCATTGCACTCGTGGAACTGAATGGCAGACAACCTGGTGCCAAGAACATGCGTATTGTCGTCATGAAAAACTACAAGATTGACGAAAAGGTTAGGCAAAAAAGAGGCAATGAGTTTTTTGAGTGGATGGCCGAGAAGATACAGCAGGCACTTGCAGATCCTCAACTGAGATCCTCAACCAAGACTGAGGAGTTTCCCATGGGCCTGGCATGGTCTTTTCCTGTCGAGTTTGTATTCCCTATACACTCTACTTTGCAATGACTGACTGTTGCCAGGCAAACCTCCAGTCGAAGTGCGAACCTACTAGATATGGGAAAGGGATTTCGTGCTACGGAAGGTGTTCTCGGTCAAGATTTGAGCGAGCTAATTATGGCACCGTGCAGAAAGAGGGTAAGTCTTGATCGCTGACACAGCCTCCTACAACTTCTCACATCTTCAAGGGCCTACCAGTACACATGGACTCCATCGTCAACGACTCATCAGCGACCTTGCTATCACGTGCCTACGAAGACCCTTCAACGCGTTTTGCCGTTATTCTGGGAACCGGGTTTAACATATCCGTACACTTGCCCGTATCATCGCTCGCGTCTACCAAGTACAAGGGTTACCCCCAGCAATGGCTTGATGATGCTACTCATGTACTCGTAAACACCGAGTGCAGCATGTTTGGCAAACACGTCTTTCCCACAACCAGGTGGGACGAACAGTTGAACGACGCACACATGCGACCTGACTTTCAGCCTTTCGAGCACATGATCAGTGGTCGGTATATTGGCGAGATCGTTCGACTGATCTTGGTGGAAGCCGTACAGACAGCAGGCTTGTTCAGCGGAGAGATACCACATCAATTAGCCGAACCTTACACCCTCGACACCGGAACCATTGCCGCGATGGAGATGGATGACTCCAAACATTTGACAAGCGCTGCAGCTCTTTTCCAGTCCAAGCACCCTCTGAGCAAGCCACCTACCTACAACGACATTCAATTCGTCCGTCAGGTCTCGCAACTAGTTTCCCATCGCGCAGCAGCTTTTCTCGCAACAGGCATCCACGCGTTGTGGGCACTTAGAACGAAATCAGAAGGCTTGACGCCTGCGTCCGCTGGTCGGATGAGCATCGGTTGCAACGGCTCCGTCATCGAAAAGTATCCCTTTTTCAGAGAATTATGCCAGTCGCATCTCCATGAGATGATTGCTGCTTCGGGAGCGGAGTCAAACTCTGTCACTTTGGAGGTTGCCATAGAGTCGGCGATTTATGGCGCAGCTGTTGCTGTATGCTGTCTCGAAGGACAGTAGTCATTATGCGACGACGCACATAGATCGTCTCATAAATTCCCTTTATACCCTTTACTCAACGTTGTTGTACATACATTTCAGTCACATTTGTCCTCCTTCCTTCGATTTAGAGAGACCTTTACAACCCAGCAAGCAAGACTTTACGAGAGCATATGGGAGCTTTACTACACTGTTCCCTTTCGGCGTTTTTCTGGTACATCACATCGCGATGCTCTTGAGCATTTCGACGACCTAATGAAACATATTCTGATTTGCGCTTTCTCTCCCTTGTACTTGACACGTGATGAATAGCGATATGAACGATATCGCACATGGGGATATAGCGGTGGGAGAGCAAAATGGATCCATGCACCATATTCGGACAGAACAGATCGAACAAGCTCATCCTTCTAGACACGCAGTACGTAATTTGAGCTCCACTGCTATCTCTCAACATCACCATGCCACAGTTGACAAACGTAACGCCTGATATCCACTTTCCAATACAAGTCCCATGTCAAGCAACGGAGCATACCAGCCCGAACCGGCACTCTCCGTCTACCGGTAGCGAGAAAATAGATAGGAGATACGATTCTCGCCTGCCACGTGGGTCCCAGATGGATATGCTGCAAACCGCAAATTGCGCCATCAATCCTTTGACCCACATCCCGAGGTACATTGCAGATGTACCCATTACCCAATTTACACGCAAGGCGACTAGAGACTACAGCCGTAGCACACATGACCGAATGCTACATTATGATAAATGGTCCTCTTTTTCTTTCAAATTCCTTGGGGACGTTCGGGAATCCGGCAGTTGCTCGGCTTTTCCTTTTTGGCGGCAGATGGTCGGAGGTGGAGGTGGTGGTGGTGATTGACAATGCAATGTAATGCTACTGTTACACTCCACACTCCACACACCACACTCCAACTTCGACTCCAACTCCAACTTCGGCCAGAAGCACGCCCGAATATCACGATGCAGCGCGACACCACGACGCTGAATCTACACGTATGGAAGATGCGACGTTGTATGGAGAGTTACACTGCGGGGTGAAGATGATGACGACGCCTCCGTGACTACCTTGGCGAGATGGGTGGGTTTAAGGTTGCAAGTGCCATGTGATCGCTGTGGTTCTTCGAAAGGAAGGTTGCAGTCTTAACCTCGGCGATGGTCTTGGGGAAGATGTCGGCCATGTTTCCGTCATGTTACATCTGCGTGTAGTTTGCGTCAGCCGCATTCGCATCAAGCAATTTGTCGACTAGGAGCCTGGTGCCTGTGCCGCATTTCGACAGTACCTGGATGTTATATGTAAGCAGCTCGAAGGGGACAAGGTTGAATACGATGTGTGCGAGACGTTACTACATCAAACATGGAATGACAGTTGATGAATACGCGGACATTGGTATGACACGAGCTAGTGCAATGTAAGAATAAAGTGGTATAATAATATCTTGCCAAGAAGGGGAGGCATAGCAATCGTATATAGTTGACAAAGGCTCCCACGGTAGATTGAAGAAGATCCTGCTGTCGTAAAGGAAAACGCCAAACTCGTGCTGCCTCCTCGAACTTGAGAGTCTACTCAGAATTGAGAAACCCAAGCCCAAGACTCTTCTGTACTTCAGCCTAGCTCTTTTATCGGAGTGTAGGATCAGCTTGAAGATGAATTGCGGCTGGGCCAAAGTAAAGTCCAACCCACAGCCAGTATTCTTTTTCGTCATAACAGTATTACAAGGGGAGTCATATGACTCAATACAAAGGGTATCATAACAAAACGCAAATCGGCTTGGCTCCCCTTACCAAGCATCTGAGAAGTACCGTTTCGACCGACTCTTGCCAGCATCTGCCTTTGACTCTTGCGGGAAAGGAGTGATATGATGGACAACATGTGGTCGATAGACAGCATCAACAGGCGGCATCCAGTCGTCCAGACCAAGCGGGAAATACTCGTAAAGCATGTCGGCACCTTCATCAGGACTGTTGATGATGCCTATCGAGAAGGAGGGTGGTCGCATTGGTGTTGCGCGTTTTCTTTGCTGTTCACTAGGCGAAGGTGCTTTTTGTGGCTCGTCATCGGTAAGAGATAGAGTGACTGGGGCTATGGACGTCCGTTGTGGGGGCACGCTTCTTGAGATCTCGGGTGTTGAATGTGCATACGGGGTAGCATGTTGTAACTGAGACGAAGGCGGATCTGGCGGTATGGCAGTCATGGCACCTGCTGGCATCTTCCAAGCGAAGTCTGGAGACGGTGGCATCTCACTCGCGTTGAACTCAAACGGCATCTGTAGTAGGTCCATGGGCTTTGAGGAAGCTGCAGGTTGATTCGGTGTTTGTTTCGGCGTGGTCTGGGTTGTATCGCCCGTTGGAGTTCTGCTGGGCTGCTGGGGGGTTTGTACTTTGCGTGCAGTCGTGCCTCCGCCGATGGGCAAATCCTTCCGGGCCTGGAAGTTGCGAGGACTCCTTCCTCGTACGATGATTGCACCAGAGTGAACTTCGCAAATCGGCACTTTGACACCACTAGCGAGGGTTGCTATCACCTTCAAACGCACCACAAAATGCTGTTGGAGCTCCTTTCTTCGGCCGTTGTTTGCAGTCGCTATCCGGAACTGTAGTCGTTTCCAGCTGATAGGAAAGCTAACGTACTCCGAGTCGATATCTTGGCCGGTTGAGAGATCAAGTGGGTATGTTGGTGGCTCCTTTTCGGTCTTGTCTTCGACGGAGGCGCTGCCCGTCGCAGGGGTTTTCCAAGGGACTGATATTATCTTTACCGCATTGCCCTCGAGCGACTCGGTGGCGGAAATGGTGAGTTCTTGGCCAAGAATGGGTATCTGCTCGCCTTGGTCGGTCATCAGAAACTGCAGGCTGCGAGGAAGGGTGATGGTGCCAGTGATCTGGAAGAGATTCCTCCTGTAGCAAGTCAACTCGGAAGGCGCCTGGACATCGGCTGCCGTTGCCCAGGGAGACTCGGCCAGAAAGAACATGCCATGGAGCTGGGCAGACATGGATATGGAGACTCTCTGCATGGTATAGGTGAGGATGGTGTATGGTACGACGGGCAGAGAGAAGCTGAGGAGCTTGTTGTTGCTCTCGATGCTGGGACTCTCGGGCATGCCATTGTGGTCGTGTGGGTGTATCGACTGCTCGTAGCCGCTCTGGACGTCGGAGAAGGGGTCTTCGTAGGTGCTCGGGTAGCGCTTGAGTTGGGGCGGGAGCTGCTGGAGGTGGTATGTCGAGTAGGCGTCCTCACTTCTGCGCAGACGAGTTAGCTGCTGTCGGGCGCGTGCGGCGCACTTGACCTACCCGATGAACGTCTCGGCATCGAAGTTGGAGCGCTGGTCATACTGGAGCGGCACGGGCATGGACATGTGCTGATCGGGGCCCGTGACAGTCTGGAGGGGTATGTATGACATGGTGTTTGTGTTGAAGTGCTCCATGGCTCGGCACAGCCTGGCTGGGGTCGAGGGAGAGGTCGGCGTCGATTTGGCGCATGCGCGCAACAATAGCTGGAGCGCGGCGACGAGCAAGGCGCGACCGGCGGACACAATGGTGGGCAGGCACGCAGGAGTGGGCGCTGGCGGGTCGTGGTTGTGCTTCAGCGAACGCTTGGGGCTGGCTCTCTCTCTCTCTCTGGGGTTGGAGGTGGAGAGATGCGGCAGGCGAGCAAGCGGAGAAGACGGGGACTAGACAGGCTGCACGCTGCTGCACTGTGCGCTGGAGAGCGACACCCGGGGCGACAAGGCACAGAGAGGCTCGCGGCTGGGGCTCACACAGAGCGCACCAAGAAGAAGACTTGGTAGCTGTCTTGCTGAGGTTGTGCGACGACGCATCACATGCGCTTCTGGCCAAGGTCGGATGGGTGCACTGCGCAAAGGGTCCCGCCTGCTGTGGGGCTCGGCAGGGGAATTTACCAACGGGTATCTCAACGGGAAGGATACGCTTGGCCTGTCTTGAGACATGCGATGCAGAAGATGCTCCGACACATGTTGTATACCTCCCCAATCCTCCACAACGCACTGCGCCCTGGCACGCGGCTTCTTCGGTAGCCCTTCTCGAAGGGACAAGCCGAACGGTGATCACCCTACGCCATCGCACCAGTGGCGCTTCAGCCTCCTACTCTAGCTATGGACCCGCTCAGCTTTAAAAATAACAACCACCTCTGCAACCACCCCTAATCCGACGTCGCCATCTATCACGTCTGTCACCTCAAACTATTCAGCGGCACGGAGAGGCCGACAGACCCTTGGAGGGAACCATCCGATCCGAGTACGTCAGTCCACGACCGCACGGCTTTCTGCATGCAATGACATCACATCATGGTACAAGCGGTAGTCATAACCAATGGGACGCCTGCCCGTACCGGATACCAAAAAAGCAAACCAAAACACGAGCCTAGAATATTCCCAAACGCCGACCCAAGAAGCTTTGAACAAAGTAGCCAGCGCCCTCGGCCTCTGACGGGAAGAGCCAGCCCAATCATGCGGGCGGGATCATAGTCCATGTCGCAGCATCGCAGCTAACTTCCTCAAAGTTATGCATGACATCGAATCCCATTGCCGAAAAGCCGTCGAAGTTGCCGTCTCCGTCCATCTGTCTGTGTCAGTATGCTGTCGTGGCCGACCGACCGACGGCTACTCACATAGTCGAGCAAGCATGCGTTGCACCCCAGCTGCTTGATCTGCCGCATGCCAAGAAGGATCAGCCCCTGCAGTAGTGTCGAGTACTCTCCTACTCCAGGTGATATGACGGGTGAGGAAATACCTCCAGCCGCCTCGTTGAGGTGCTTCAGCGGAGGTATGTACTCAGCAAGTCGCGAGTGGCTATTGTAAAGCACAACAGTACCCACCAACGCGCCGTCTTCTGGTCGTTTTGCCCGAATGATACCACAAGCTGTCGGGTCTGTGAGGGCAAGCTTGTACACCTCCGCTAAGCCTTGGCGATTGCTCGTCTTGATATGGTCAAGAATAGGTCCTGCATAATCCCATCCGTACACAAGGTCAAATTGTGCTCCTGCACTTGCTAGACTCTTGGCCATGCCTGTGGGCGGAGTCCATGTCTGCAAATTGCGCGCAACCATGTTACAGACGGGACGAGAAAGTGCTGCGCCCCAGCCAAGCTGAGCAAACCACGATCGAAGTCGTTTGCGCTCATTTCCATGTCCGGTTGGGATTCCAAGATACATACTTGGGAGGCGTGACCCAAGCTGAAATCTCTTGATACCCTCCTTCTGCAGAAGTGTACGAATAGCTCGGTTGTGCAGCGAATGACCAATCGAGAGCTTTCTCCTTGCTGGATCTACAAACAGAGCCCCAATCACACCGGTGCCTGTGGCCTTGAAGAAGTAGGTCGAGCAGAATCCATAGAGTGCTTGTGTGCTGCTGTTTCTGACGACGAAGTGTGATTCTTCTACTTCCGGGTGGTGCAGGATGAATGAATTTGACGTCGCGCTTGCCATCTCTGACCGTTGGCTCGGAGCTGTGCTTTCAACGACAGCTGCGACTAACGTATCCAGAGCGTTTCCGTCTCGCTCTTCGTTGAAGACTGCACATGTGAAGGTACCAAGTCAGTATATGTCTCACATGCAGTTCGTACAGCCACAACTTACTCTCGACTAACCAATGCTGCTTGCTTGGATGGAGCTTTTGGCTCTTACTGATAGTGCCCGGTAGTGTTCCAGAAGGAGTCAATTCGCCATACAGTACCCTGACGAGGGAGTTGAGTGCTGTCTCTGTGAAATCGTAGGTGCCTTTAAATTTGGTGTACGAACTCAGTATTTCTCTCATATGCAGTTCGTAAATAGATGTCACTTACATATGTATGTCCCAATCGATGTATCGATTGCAAAATCGTACGGGCTTGAAACTGCCACGACGATCAAAGGTTTTTCGCGCCTCTCGCCACCAGTCGTGTACTGCATGTTGCAAATCATTGAGACATGCTTGGTGAAACCATGCTGGTACAGATTCCGGTTGGCGTCAGCCGTAAGTACGATGATTGCACTTGCCCGATTAATGAGATTTTCATGGACTGGGCGAACACCGTTTGCAGTGTAAGATGTGTGAAGTAGTCTCCCGTTGCGTTGCCTGGCGAGAGAACGGCCCAGTTCTCTAAAGACTCGTTCCCCACTCATTACTGACGAGCTCCGATCCCATACAGCAGGCTCTGGCGAATGGCCTGCCGCGCCGTTAGCAGCATCAGATATTGCTCGTGACGCCGCTGATGCAGCCAAGGGCTTCACAAGCGGTGTCAGCAGAAGAAGCTCTTCTTCGCTCTCAAGTATGTTTGTTAGCGGCAAAAGTCTATTCTTGTCTCGGACGACTGTGATGGAGCTGTTATACGCTTTGGTCGATAGTGCAGTATGCGAAGGCTGCAGCTTTTCCAGGTAGTTGATGCCCGGCGGGTTCAAGGCTTTTTCCCATGATGTGCACTTCTTCTTCATGGCTAGCACGCGTCTGAGTGAATTGAAGATGCGCTCTTTCGAGACCATCTCCGTCTCGATGCCAGTCTTGAGGCCTTTCAGCCCTTCTTGTTGAAGCGAGAAGGATCGACATAAAAGTACCACATCGCAGCCAGCATTGACCGCCATCACTGTGCCGCCGCCTACACCAATGTTGTGACTGAGAGCATCCATCTCCAAACACTCCGAGACCACGACACCATCAAACTTCAGGTCTGTTCGAAGGAGTTCGTCGACAACTTGCTCAGACAAACAAGCATGCATCGCATTCAGTCCGGCCGATGACATGGCGCAGCCACCAACCATCATGGAATCAAGGCCTCTCTCAATAGCCTTCTTGAATGGTATCAGAGCGCTTAGGCTAAGTTGCTCTAAGGATTCTGTGATGATCGGAACGTCAAGTGTTGAGCCTAGAAACTCCAGATTACCGTAAGAAGGAAAGTGTTTACCCAAAGTCACCACCCCGGCGTCCTTGTAGCCTGCCATGAAGGCGCAGCCAAAGGCAGAAACTTCCTGGGGATCGTCACCAGCCGTCCTTACCCCTAAAGGCTGGTTGCGTGCATTGGTGAGTACATCCAGACACGGACCGAAGATCCAGTTAATGCCACACGCAGCAATCTCCTGTGCAGTCGCCTTGGCTACTTCGAAAGCCAACTCGGTCGAGCCTGTTGCTGCCATTCCCATGTTACTGGGATATTGGCGGATGTAGATGTCATCGAAAAGACTGTTAACGCCGCCATTTTCCTGATCGATCCCAATGGCCAGAGGAACAGGGTGGCCCGCATCGTGAGCAATCTTCTGTAGCTCATAGATAAGCTGGGTAGTATCTTCGGCCGCTGTGGCAAGTTAGTAAGAGAACCCACGACGGCAAATAGCCACAAAAAGCGTAAGCTGCTGACATTTCAAATTCTTGGCAGTAAGTAGTATGCAGCCAACATGATGTTCCTCAATCAGCGTACGAATGTGGGGAGTGACCGAGGTGCCATCGAAGCCCATCATGAACAGTTGGCCCTACAAAGCCTCCGTCAGCGAATCCCGTGCAGCATGGGCGGATGCGACCCACCATAGTCCTACATCACGGGCAAGTTAGCCTGGCTCTTTGTCACATTGCGCATTCTCAGGGTGAGAGTGGGCACCATGCTCACCTATCGAGGTCGTCCCAGACAGGATCCATGTTCTCGACCTTGCTCATGATGACAGCGCCGTCGCGTCGCAATGAAGCCCTGAATGCGACGTGGAATTCCGGGTGGGCACCAAGGCTTGAACGTGACTCGCAGATTGGTAGTGGATGAAAGATGGGGAGGATGGCACGGTAGCATTCACGCCATTCCAAGCTGGGGTACGTGGTTAGCGAGCCGCTAGCTATCGCAAGCCCGTCCATCGTTACACCATCCACTTCCTCGACTATCAATGACATCCACTTCGATGCCACCTCACATGCAACCGTGATACACGCTGATTGTTCGGCCAAATGTGATGATCACCGTGTTACCTCGATCCCACACTCCACTCAACCTAAGCAATTGGACAACGTGCCTTATGGCGATGATACAGGTCGTGCAAGGCAAGTTTGCCCGCCATCGATGACTCAACAGAATCATCGCATGAAGATAGGCGTAGGGATGCAATCGCGATAGAAGTAGTAAACGGGCTGCAAGTCTCTTTGTAACAGGTATCGAGTTTGCTCGCCCAGGCACAACTTACCACTCCTTCCACTTCCAGTCGATTCTTGAACCAATATACGCTTTTTTCCCATCCAACAAGGGTCTACTACCTAGCAGGAAACTAGGCTCTCGCGACCGACAATGCCATCGGTTGCACCAGTGCATCCTGGGAGTTTCTCGGGCGTCATCAAATTCACCAACTGCTTATTGGTAAAAGGCAATGCTTTGGTCAACCAAGACTTATGGATAAGCTCTAAGAGCGGCAAAGTTCTAAACGGACAAGAGATTCTCTACGAGTATCGCACTGCACCGGAACAAATTGTCGATTTGGGTGGACGCGTCCTCTCGCCAGGTCTCATTGATACCCAACTCAATGGCGCATACGGTTTCGACTTCTCCGTGCTCCCAGATGAAGGCACATCGGCCTACGCCAAGGGAGTGCATCGAGTCAATCGAAGCTTAGTTGCAACGGGTGTCACATCATATCTGCCAACCTTGACTTCACAACTACCAGAGGTTTACCAACAGACCCTGCCATTCCTAGGGCCCTCAGGCGCCGCTCGCGATGCATCATACGGATCAGAATCTCTCGGTGCCCATTGCGAAGGACCGTTCCTGAGCCCTACTAAGAACGGCATCCACAATGCTCTTGTCCTACGCGAACCAACAAACAACGCCTCCGACCTGGAAGCCTGTTACGGCAGCGACAACCTGCAAAAGCCCTCGCCCATTAAGCTTATCACCCTTGCACCCGAACTTCCCGGTGCCCTCTCATCCATCCCCCATCTCAACTCCCTCGGTATACACGTTTCAATAGGGCACTCGGAAGCAACCTACGAAGAAGCAAAATCAAGCATAAAATCTGGTGCACGAATGATAACTCACCTCTTCAACGCTATGCGTCCTCTTCACCACCGCAATCCTGGCATCTTCGGCCTCCTCGGCACACCGTCGTCGTCTATCCAGAAACCATATTTTGGTATCATCGCGGACGGCATTCATCTTCACCCGACTTCTATAAAGATAGCATGGAATGCTCATCCAGATGGTCTGATTCTCGTTACCGATGCCATGGGGTTGGCAGGTATGCCCGATGGGACATATGATTGGACAAACGGGTCGCGAATCGTCAAGCAGGGCCCGTTGCTAACACTCGAGGAGAATGGTAAAATTGCGGGAAGTAGCATTCAACTTGTGGACTGTGTTAGCAACTTCTTGAATTGGACGGGGGCTAGTGTGCCCGAGGCCCTCAAGGCGGTCACTGAGACACCGGCGAAGATGCTGGGACTACAGGGTATCAAGGGCACGTTGGAGGAGGGTGCGGATGCAGACTTGGTGGTATTAGATTTGCAGGAAGATGAGGGCGGGGAAAAGAAATTCGTTGTGGATGAGGTGTGGAAGTTTGGGGTTAGAGTTTTCGATCGGACGCAGGACGAGTGATCAAAACACTCTTTCACAATTGGCATGGTTGTCTTGTCGTATGCACAGTCAGCTTGTTGTGTAGCAGTTAGGGTGTTTCTAAAGAACGGCATTAGTAGCGCAACATCAGCACCATACACCCAAAAACGACAACCCTCATAATGTAAATAATCTTGTTCTTCTATCTATCTGTTTTCAATATGAACTCACGCGACATTTGTACTCGCGGTTCTGAACTCCCACCATCTCAATATATACAAGTTAGCATAACAACGATAAGCGCCAAATATAGCCCTGCGAGGCCTGCTTCCCGTCCCCAGAGATGATACAGAAAATGTGGGAAGCTATGAACATAGCATACAAACGTGTTGACTGGAAAGGAAATGAGACGGAAACACCGAAATATGCCAGATATGCGTCGAGACTCGTAAGTCCGTATTAACAAAACGCCGAGGAACACCAAACACATGTAATATACCCAATGCCCGTGATGAAATAAGTATCCAAAAATCATGCTCTAGCATCATTGCGAAAAGGAAGAGGCGCTGTGAATTATGCCAGTCGTTCACTTAAACATCCACTGACAGTGACAGGCATCCGAAGGATCCATACGACGCTGTATGTCGGGAGAGCTTTCACGCTTGCCCTTTCTGTCGAACGTGATTGTCTGGGAGGGCTGGGCAGCGAAATACTCTTCATAGCTAGGATCTAACTCTTGCAGCCATATTCTGATGGGACTGTCGTTCGGGGCGGGTGCTGTTGTTATCTCGTAATTGTCGAGCAGGAGCATTTGTTGGCAGTACGGTTGCGGCGAATCAGGGAGGCGGCGTTCTTCAATCTTGACGATCCGGGGATAGGGTGGCATACGAGGGGGGGAAGAGGCATCTGAAGCGGAATCTCGTGCCGCAACTGGGGCTGGCACTGCCAGGTTGACAGGCGAAGGCGTTGCAGACACCTCGGTAGTCTGTGTGGGGCTTGCAGAACTACCGACTGACGATGCCACGGCGATGTTTACAGCACCATCGTCAGTTGGTTCAGGTGTGGGCGTAGGCCATTGTGTAGGAAACGACGTGAAAGAAGCAGCTGTGGAGTTGTCATCGGAGTAGATATAACCCTCGATATAGGTGTTATTCCAGTAGCAGTACCAGGGATAGTCGCCAGGTTTGACCTCGAAACGCTGTCGGTATTTGTTGTCCTGTCGCTTTGTGAGTGCTGACCCGAAATTGAGCTCATCGGGTGGCAAGATGACGATTTTGTCATATCGAGCAGAAAAATGGTAAGCTGGACCATAAGCTTTGTAGTCTAGGTCGAGCACTAGTTCCATCGGTTTGGCATCAAGTAAAGGAGTCTGAAGACCGTATAGTATGGAACCTTGGGGCACAGAGGGACCAATACCCATAGACGCAACTTGCTGAGTTTCACCAGCAATAACAGTGTCGTTGATCGTTATGACAAGGGGAGCGAAGGTCATCTTACATGACCATGCGGAGTATTGGTTCGCCTGTGTTAGGCATCCAGGATTGCTCTCTTGTGGTATACCTAGAGGAAGTGCGAAAGCGCCAGTTGGTAGTGGTAACAGTCCAGCCGGAGTCGAAATGGGAACTGCGTCGAAGAGTGACCCGTTTTGACCTGTAACTTGGGGTTGACTAGCAAATGTTAGTTACGTAAAATGTCGAAGAATCACAAACACTTACGCTTCCTCATGAGGGTTTTTGCTCTCATCTTGATCGTCATTGTCGTCATGTTTCTTGGCAGCAAAGGTGCCAATAGCTGCGCCGAGAGCGACGGCAAAGACCAATATAAGAATGAGAACCACAAGGGCCACGCCCATAGGCACCTTTCCCCATAGCTTCCTTTTCCGCCAACTGACCTTGCCCTCGACTGGCTCCGCCTTCTCTGAGAAGTGGTTCTCCGTCGCCAACAAAGATGCAGAAGACGAGTCAGAAGCGTCCGCTGGAACAGTGCCGCTTTGCGCGGAGGTAGAGTTGGAGTTGGCAGGGGCCAGATTACCGGTCTGGGTTTCGGGTCTCTGAGGTGGTAGGCGGGCGGGTGTGACAGAAGGTAGCAGAGGAACGGCAGGTAGAGGAGGTGGCGAGAGTGAAGTAGTGCTCAGCGGCGAGACGGGTGATGCGGGGGTGTTGAAAGGATCCTCTGCGTCGACCTGCACAGGAGCAGGAATAACACGTGACGAAGCGCTTGCCTCGGCTGCCAAAGACGCCTTGGTTGGACCTTCTTCTGGATATCTTGAGTAAGGTGGAAGCTGCTCCGTGTGTCCGTCGGGCCCGATGATGTCCTGCTCCTCGCCGTCAGGCCCGAGGACTCTGTGATAGCCGTTGTTCAGGCCCGGAAATCCCACGGGAATAGCCGACTGGACCTGAGGCACAGGCGCCTGGGCTGGCTCGTCTGGCGACTCTTGGTCGACAATACCGCTTTGCGAGTACATGGCATATGGGTGTGTCGGCCGTTGCAGTGACATTGATCGATGCGGTTGGCGCTCGGTGGAGCTAGTTGCTACGCTAAGTGGCCGTGCCATTGACAGCTGAGGATACATGCCATATGGATGGCTGGGGCCCGTCTCAAAGGGGTTCTCAGAATTGCTGGTCGTCGCAAAGGACCCGGCGGAGCTCACTGAGTCGCGATGTGCAAGGGGCGAGTGGTGGCTGGGCCCACGGTTGAGGGGCGGTCGGCCGTCTTGTGTCATAGAGTCCCGCACCTTGGCGGTGCTGTTTCGCGTTGCCGTCCTGCGCAAGTCGCTCTCGGGGTGCTTGGATGTCGATGCTTGTCGTTGCGGCGCGTCGCCTATCCGGTCGTGGTTCTGGCGGCCGCCCTGCCATGCCTCGCTCGTGTTGGCTGGTCGGAAGCCATCCGAGACCGAGGGCATGAAATCGTCCTCGTCCGGGTCGATTTCGTAGTCGTCGCCAAAGACATCGGGGTTGCTCAGCCGCCGCGATGGCTCGTCGTCGTTGCTGTTGCGTCGGTCCATGACGCCGAACTGTCCCTGAGAGCCACAAAGGCCCGTTCCTCTCCCCTTTCAGTCCTCCCAACAAGCGATGCAGTCGTCTCGTCGTATTTTTGCTCGATGCGGTGCGCGCTCGGCAGCGATGGATGGCGCGCGTGTAGCGAGTGTGGTGCGAATTGGCGTGTGTCGTGTCGTGGAGTTGGTAGTGGAGAGAAGGTGCATCACGTTTGGCAGAGGTTGTCCTGAGACGCTGGCGCCACTAAAAGGCGCACGGGCGAACACCAGCCTTGGAACCTTGGAACCCTCGATAAGCAGCCCTTCGAGAACACAAGCCCTCCACCAGCCGGGACCAACTCATCAACCTTCCACCTTGCATTTCTCTCCATGCATCGTCTCTTCGCACTGCATGTCTGTCAACGTTGCCTGAATGGCTGCGAGCACACTTTTGCCCCTCTCGCGTTAATATACGGCTACTTTGGGACTGCCCGACCTTAATCATGTCTAATATTGGGACGGCTAGTTCCACTACTGCTAGACAGAACACGTTCGACAGAGCTATCGACCACTGTATTCTCCGCTGTCCAAGTAGGATCCAGAATGCATCCCATATCCAAGACCAAGTTGTCTGGCAAGACAAGACAAGACAAGACATGCGGTGCTTTTATATACTCGCCTACTGAGCATGCGAGGCACGTGTTGAACATGTCATCTGCAGCGTCATCTGCCCAGGATGTCCCAGTCAATTTTTCTGGTTGGATGTCAAGTGGTGGCACATTTTCCACTCTATAGAGTAGATAATTTCCATCTACTCCGAAAGACTATAGGTAGTTGACGCTACGGCTCTCGCTTCTTATGCTATCCCCATCCGTTGTGTGAATCTCGGATATCTTTATGTTGCTCGTAGTTCTGGCACAAAGGAGTCGAATTCAGCAGTCTCGTCCGATTACTCCTGAGTATATCTGCTTCCATAAACACAACTCGTAACTCGGGTCTACAGGCAACAGTATTCTGTCCTGTTCTGCCGGTGCCAGATACCTTGCAGCTGCACCGAGTTGGAAGTTTCGCAGCCATCGTGACGCGGCATTACGCATACCGTGGAGGCTGTGCCATGAGCACACGGCAAGTACTCTTCTTTCGGAGGGTATGAGGTTGCTAGGGGTGACTTGTTGCGATGGGCTGATGGTTCCTGAGTGCCTGACTAGCTAGTAAATCCCTGCATGCCAAGCGCGGCGGCGATAGGTGGTCGAGCGAGTACTTCTCCCGCTCGGATGAAAAGGGCCAACTCGCCATGTTAGCAGCATGGTCGTGTGAAGTCGGGATAAGGGCGAAGGAGCATGCGCGTCGTGTCAGAGAGAGCAAGGCGGCATGCACACTTTTCTTTTTCGTGGTATGATTGCCCCGCTATCAATACCCACGCCGGTCTTCGCAGCCAGACCCTGAATGCACCGAAAAGAATGTACCGAAAATCTCAGGGACTAGCAGACACAACAATCAAGCGCGTGGGCCGCTGTTGGCATTGTTGAGGGCTAACTTGTGCACAAAACCCGTTAATTCTCCCCTTTCGAGACTTGTACCCACGCCCGTACTAGCATTGCCACGAAACTGAACTGATAGCCGCTACTAAACTGCACCTTGCCATTGTCGCGTAGGATTTACTCGTCAAACTACTTAAGGCGGTGAACTCCCCTCCCTGGCCAACACACTCCCCTTCTGCTCCCCTCACAACATTCTGTACTCCTGCAAACATGGCTGCTCGTCCTTCCAACATCGGTATCAAAGCCATTGAGCTTTACTTCCCCAGCCAGGTATGTCGTCCATGCGGCAAGCGCGGTACTTGCCGTCCCAATGCTCACGCGCTGCTTTGCAACAACGCATGCTAACAAGCCGTCCACAGTGCGTTGACCAGGCTGAACTCGAGAAGTTCGATGGCGTCTCTCAAGGCAAATACACCATTGGTCTCGGCCAGACCAAGATGTCCTTCTGCGACGACCGTGAGGGTGGGTTCAACATTTTCTGACTGCATGGCTACATGATACCTAGAGGCGAGACTGACACCTTCTCTACGCAGACATTTACTCCCTCGCCCTGACCACCGTCACCTCGCTCTTCAAGAAGTACAACGTCGACCCCAAGAGCATTGGCCGTCTCGAAGTCGGTACCGAGACTCTGCTCGACAAGTCCAAGTCCGTCAAGTCTGTGCTCATGCAGCTTTTCGAGGAATCTGGCAACTACAACATTGAGGGTGTTGACACCGTCAACGCATGCTACGGTGGAACCAACGCTCTCTTCAACTCCGTAAACTGGATGGAGTCATCGGCCTGGGACGGCCGTGATGCCGTTGTCGTTGCTGGAGACATTGCGCTGTACAAGAAGGGCAACGCCCGCCCGACTGGTGGCGCTGGATGTGTTGCCATGCTCATTGGTCCCAACGCGCCCATTGTCATGGATGCTGGCCAGCGTGGCTCTTACATCAGGCACGCATACGACTTCTACAAGCCTGACTTCACCAGCGAGTACCCCGTCGTTGACGGTCACTTCTCCGTTCGCTGCTACACCGAGGCTGTCGACGCCTGCTACAAGGCCTACAACGAGCGCGAGAAGACTCTCAAGTCGCAACAAAACGGAAACGGTGTCAACGGCAGCCAGGAGCTCGAGACGGCTCTCGACCGCTTCGACTACATGGCTTTCCACGCCCCCACCTGCAAGCTTGTAGCCAAGTCGTACGCGCGTCTGCTCTACAACGACTTCCTTGCCAACCCTTCCAACCCCATCTTCGCCGAGGTTCCCGCTGAGCTCCGCGACCTCGACTACGCCACCTCTGTCTCTGACAAGACTGTAGAGAAGGTCTTCATGGGTCTCGCTAAGAAGCGCTACGCGTCTCGCGTCCAGCCCAGCATCCAAGTCCCCACCCAGTGCGGTAACATGTACTGTGGTAGTGTCTACGGTAGCTTGTGCAGCTTGCTCGCCAACATCAGCAGCCAGGACCTCGAGGGCAAGCGCATCGGCATGTTCAGCTACGGAAGTGGTCTGGCCTCCTCCTTGTTCTCCTTCACCGTCAAGGGCAGCACCGAGAACATTGCCAAGCAGCTTGACATCCAGAACCGTCTCGAGAAGAGGCGTGTAGTCGCCCCTGAGGTCTACGATGAGGTAAGTCTCTTGAATCCTGATTCATCGTGAAGCACTCTACTAACACTTTCTTCCAGATGTGCAACCTCCGTGAGCAGGCTCACCTCCAGAAGGACTTCACTCCCAAGGGAAGCGTTGACACCATTGTTCCCGGCACCTACTACCTTACCGGCATCGACAGCATGTTCCGCCGCTCCTACGAGGTCAAGCAGTAGACGACCAATCTGCCACATTATACCCCCACAACTTCATTTCTTCCTTCGCTTGCATTCTGAGCATTTGCGGGAGTCATCTCCATGATTCAGCTTAGACTCGAAAGGTTGCATCATTTCACACTCGGCGTATGGGATTGTGGTCCCACTTTGTTGACCGTAGGGTAGTGTGAGGACGTGGTATCACGATATTACGATGGATGACAGGGATGGGAAGGATTATACAGGTATATTGTCACGATCTGCATGGAGGCATGACAAGAGTTTTGCCGCCTTAATATTGGCTTCTGATCGAAGCATCGACACTGTAGATAGACTAATATGATGTTCAAACTTGTAACATGGTCCCACAGCAAGGCAAAAGACTTATCCAAACCGACATCGGCATTGGCATTGGCATTGGCATCCAAGACTCAGCTAATTAATCTTGAGTCGCATTGTTCAATACTAATCCTGTTGTGGAATTACTCAACTTGACCAATTTTGGACGAATCGAACCTCGGCTCAAACTCCAGCTCCGCGTCGCGATTGCCGCCCCGCTGCGAACCTGGAAGCTTACGACTCCAACTGAGCACCCACTTCTTCTTCAAACCAACCTGTCGTCCTTGTAGTCGCGCATTTCAATCAGCGTATATCATCATATCCACTTTCATCATGGGCAAAGAATTGGGTCCTGGCGTCGGCTTTGAGTTTCCCTCGTATGAGGTGAAATGGCTCAAGCGCGACCTGCTGCTTTTTGCGAACAGCATTGGCGCTACCTACCCAGATGAGCTACACTTTCTCTACGTAAGTATATCCAGTGGAATTAAAACCCATCCCCAGTCTCTATACACGCAAGCCACAAACTTTGTAATGCATCTAACATGTCCTGCAGGAGCTCCATCCCTCGTTTGCCGCCTTTCCGACTTATCCTATCATCCTCCCTTTCAAGCACACGGACCAAGAAGTCATTGACTTTTACGCGCGCAGCAATGCAGAGCCTATTGAAGGTGTTCCCAAGTTCGACACCAAGCACATCCTCGATGGCGAGCGCAAGATCCAAGTCCTCAAACCACTTCCTGTAACAAGCGATGGACGCAAGTTTGAGATCAGGAGCAAGGTACTCGGTGTTTATGACAAGGGCAAGGCTACCGTCGTGGAGACGGAACAACGCCTTGTTGATGCTGAGAGTGGAGAGACCTACACCAGAGCTGTAGGCAGTGGCTTCTACGTTGGCCAGGGCGGTTGGGGTGGACCGAAGGGTATGTCTTTCTCATGAAGCCTTCACAGCGCTAGTAATCTAACAAATACGGACAACGTTGAACTAACCCATCCACAGGACCCAAACAGCCCAACTACCCTCCACCCTCGCGTAACCCCGACCACACCCATGTCCATCAAACCACAATGGAGACAGCACACCTGTACCGTCTGAATGGCGACTACAACCCTCTCCACGCCGACCCTGAGCCAGGCAAGAAGATGGGTTTCGGTGGCCCCATCATCCACGGTCTGTTTTCCTGGAACATGTCTGCACATGCCATCTTGAAAGCATTTGGTGGCTCGAAACCTGAAAACTTGAAGGAGTTCCAGGCGAGATTTGCGGCACCTGTCAAGCCAGGAGACAAGCTGATTACGGACATGTGGAGGACTGGCGATACAAATGCTGACGGATTGGAGGAGATTAGGTTCATCGTAAAGGTTGAGGGAGGTAAGACTGTTCTCACCAATGGACGCGCGCTTGTCAAGTGCGAGGGTCAAGGCAAGGCGAAATTGTAGATAGACCTATATTCACTGCATTGCATTTTCAAGGATGTGCAAAGGCCATGTAGGTAGTGCTACGTATAAGTCTTACTGAAATCAACTTGAAATATGCGCGCATACAAATATATACTTCATCTGGATAGCACCTCGGCAGCATGTCTAACATGCATCATAGGCGCCGAGACAGGCTAGATCCTCCGTCATCACACAGCAGCCCGCAGAGAGATCAATCTGATAAGATGAACATGCAGCTCACGTGAACAACAAGGATGTTGTTCTGCCGCGTCAGGGACCGAACTGAAGCACGAAACGCAAGACCATTTCGAGGTCGGTAAGCACGGCAGAAATGGCTTTTGGTATTTGCCTGATGGAGCAGGCCAAACTCGCACGAGGTTTCAAACTCAGTTGCGATGAAACACACTTCGAGTTGAGAAGCTGAGTTGTTAGAGAGAGAGGCCATTCTATTCACCTCTTCTTCCAAGCTTCGTATACGGCTACTTAGTCTTGCTGGGCATGAACTCTACTTCTCCTGTGTGCGAAAAGACGTTCATTCTCCCTTCCCATCGAGTAATCGCCCGTGGTTCAGTACAGCGACCAGCACGCAGGTACAACTCTCTGTCAATCGCGCATCTTCACAACCAATCATCGCGATGCTCTTTACCCTCCCATCCGCCCTTCTCCCAACGCTTCTCCTCCTCTCCAACCCAACAACCGCCTACAAACCCCTATCAGATGCCTTCCTCCGCGCAATCCCCTCCCCAGACGCTGCGATCGACTACAAGGACGGCCCTCTTCTCGCTCCTCTCCTCATCCCCCGCGTTCCCGGCACCCCAGGCCAAATCCTCGCCCAGCAACATTTAGTCTCGTACTTCCAAACCGAGTTACCAGCCTGGAATATATCCTGGCAAAACAGCACATCCACAACTCCGACATCGCGGGGTGCAGAGCTGCCTTTTGCAAATCTAGTCGTAAAACGCGAACCACCATGGGTCAGCAAAGGACAAGCCAACCTCCTCACGTTGGTTGCGCACTACGATAGTAAACTGCAACCTAGCGGCTTTATCGGTGCGACAGATAGTGCGGCGCCATGCGCCATGTTGATGCACATAGCCAAAGTGATTGATCCATACATCCAGCGCATGTACGATGAGATGTCTGCGTTACAGGAGGGTGGTACGGTGGATATGGACATGGGGATTCAGATTCTATTTCTGGATGGTGAAGAGGCGTTTGAGAACTGGAGTGATACTGATTCGTTGTATGGATCGAGGTGCGTTCATTGTCATTTTCCGATTCTTGATCTTACCACTTCCCACTCACATAGTACATACTAACACAAACCTTGTAGATCCTTAGCACAAGAATGGGCCTCCACATCCAATCCCCCTTCTGCAGCCTCGAAATTCTACCAAAACCGCACTCCACTATCTCAAATCTCGCTGTTCATGCTCCTCGATCTCCTGGGTAGCGCATCACCCACGGTACCATCCTACTTTCCCACAACGCACTGGGCGTACCGTCACCTCTCGACCATAGAATCACGACTCAGAGATTTGAAACTCCTCGAATCGCAGCCCAGCTCGCCTTTCCTACCTGATGTCAATGGGACCATGGGTGGTGGTGGTATCTCTGATGATCATTTGCCGTTTATGAGTAAGGGCGTCGAGATATTGCATGTTATCCCAAGCCCCTTCCCCAGGGTATGGCATACCATGGAGGATGACGGGGAGCATTTAGACGGAGAGACAGTTAGGGACTGGTGTAAGATTGTCGGGGCATTTGTATTGGAGTGGTTGGACATGATGGAGGTATGGGATGAGCCCGGCGAGGGAGCAGACCAGAGAAGGTGGCTAGGATAGTTGAAAGCCATAGATGATACAAAGAGGATAAATATTTTAGAGCCGAATCATGGCGACATATATGAAAAAGTGAACTTGATGTCTCATATAGTTATGTACAAAAAAGCTCGCCCATATCCATCACACCACCCCGACCCATGTCTCTTTGATGACGATGCGTATGAATTCATATCGTTAGTATGCCGAACGCGCAGAAAGACGTGCAAATACATGCGCATAATGCACAAAGAATGATAAATAAACAGCCTCGACTTGGCAAAGTACCATTAGAACTCCCACATTGAAAAAAGCGAAAGCAATGCACCAGCGCAATGCAAACCCATAGCCCAGCAAAGAAACATCGTGTCTACTGAAGCGTGGGAAACCGCAGCAACTTGAACTCATTCTGTGAAATCTTGTATTCGTAATCAATCGCGCGCTGTGTCAGGTCCCTGGCGTTGTCGTCGAGAAACATGTGGCGCACACCCTGTGTAATCGTGACCATGCCTAAAGTCGGTGACAGCAGCGACCGATGGGGCAAATTAGTGAAGGACTAGAACGCAGTTCAGGTCCTGTTTGGTAGGCTCCGGGTATCCAAGAAAAGACTCATATCAATAGTACCGCCATGTACTGGTAAGATAGAACAAAGCAGAAACTTTTGTCGGGTCGTGGAGGAACCTAGGATCGAAGAGCAGGCTGGGTATGTGAGCATATGCTCATCATACATCGAATTGGCCATGGTTGAAGACGTCGTGTTCGTTACTGGGAACGATGCCAGACATCCTGTCTCCGCGCCCTGCGGGTCGATCCCAGTTGACTTCGTCTCCCTCGTCTTCATCCATTCGTTCCAGAGCATCATTCCTGTGCCTGTCGTTGCCAAACTGTTGCTCCATCGTACTCTGATCGGTAAAGGTGAAGCCAGCAAAGTTTGCTTGCATAGTTGGCGACAGCGGTGTGGATGCGGGGTTGACACCTGATGCCAGAGCAGCTGCGCGTGCGTTCAGAGAACCGGCGCCGTTCAGAGCATTGGTAAACTCTGGATCGAAGTTGGAGACATCCAGCTCTCCCTTGAGCTTGGGCTTGAACGGTGGTACCACATTCTTCTTGCCCAGCGCGTCCCAGTCGATGTCGGCAAAGAAGGGATGAGCCTTGAGCTCCTCGGCATCGCGTGTTGCGCCAAGCCTGTGCTTGGGGTTCCTATTGAGAAGTCCCTTGACGAAATTCCTACCTTCAGTGCTGAGGGCGTCCCGAGGGAACCTGACCTTTCCAAACGCGATGTTCTTGTACATTTGCTGGGTGTCTTCTGCGTAGAAGGGACTCCAGCCGCAGCACATCTCAAACACTAGCACACCAAGCGACCAGAAATCGACCATCTTGGTGTAGCCGTGTTCATCGAGGAGGACTTCAGGTGCGAGGTACTCTGTGGTTCCACAGAATGTATTGGTCGTTGCGTTCTCGGTAAGGTTAGCCTTGGACAAACCGAAATCACAGAGGGCGATGTGACCGTTGGCGTCCAGAAGGATATTCTCGGGCTTAAGGTCTCGGTACACGATGTTGTGTTCGTGCAAATGTTGCAGGGCTAGGATGAGCTCTGCAATGTAGAACTTGGCACGGCCTTCCTGGAAACGGCCTTCTCGTTGGAGATGCCAGAAGAGTTCGCCTCCAGACATGTAATCGGTGACGAAATATAGATCTGAAGGTGTCTGGAAAGAGAACTTGAGTCCGACAATGAATGCCGAGTCAGCCATGGCTGTCCGGACGAGGATGTTGCGTTCTCCAAGTGTGTGGGCGACCTCCTTCTTCTGCACAATGACCTTCTTGGATAGAACCTTCATAGCATAGATACGGCGAGTGTCCCGCTTACGTACTTGGAACACTTGACCGAATGTGCCCTTTCCAATGAGCTTGAGAATCTCAAAGTCTTCAGGACCGTAGTGCTTCTTCTCCACCTTTTGGAAGTTCAGCTTGAGGTGGATCTCTCCAGTGACAACACCTCCCTCGCCCTCTCGGGGCTCTAGCGGGAACCAGCCGTCATATGGCTCGCTGTATTCGACGAGGTTTGGGCAGAAGCGGACGTGGCCGAGGAAAGCCTCGCCGTTGGCCCGGTCGTATACGGAGATGTCGATTTCGGCATGGTCGCCTACAACGTCGCTACAATCGTCAGCATCACTGTAGATGGAAGATGGGAAGCTACTTACAACATGGCCTCGTGCTCCCACTTAGGGCTTGTTACTTCCTCCAGGGAGCCATTCTCTCTAGGATCTGAGCTGTGTCCGCTGTTGCTGCTCTGTCGGCTCTTCATGGGGATGGCCATTGGAGTGCCCATCTGGCTCTCGGTCCGCTTCATCTGCATGGGTGGCCGCTTCGACTCATCGTGCCTAGGACCGTCTGAGATGTACTCAGCCCATTGGAACTGGCAGACAACGTAGGGGTCTGTGCTAGGGCGCAGACCACGTCCTTCAGAGATTGTGACTGCAAGCTTGCCCTTGGGGGCCACGACGGGAGCCGTCTTGCTCTCCTTGGACTCGTCGGAAGCGTTTGAGGCGCGGGACAGGTTCGAGGGCTTGGGCTTTGATTCTTGTGAGCGGGTGCGCGGTGTCTGGGGAGGTGTAGCCTGTTGCACCGGCGCAAAGTCGCCTTGCGTTAGCTTCTCCGTTTCACCAGTCAACTGCGAGGTTGAGGGAGTTCGGGAAGAGGCACTGGGGGTGGGGCTGGGCAGCATCTTGGGATGGGTGGGTGACTCTTGCTCCTTCTCTCGGGGGTCCGACACTTCAGAAGTAGTGACGGGTGCGGGGGAGGGGTTGACCGTGGATGAGGATTTCCGCGAGGGCATAAGAGAATCACGAACCTGGCCAAAGTAACTGTGCAGAATACCCGGCAGTCGCTTGTCCGTCGGGTCGGGCTTGGGTGTCGTGGCACCTGGGGGCGTGGAGCTAGTGGAGCCGATCTGGTCGTGTCCGTCGTCGTTGCTGTCGTTGGTTGCGCTATGGGGCGTTAGCAGTGATGAGGGCAGGAATCTCGATAAAGGCAAAAAAACGACGACGAAGTGGCGGTGAAAGGGTGGTGTGAGGGCAGGAGTCGTGTGTGCAGCGTCTGAGAAATGAACAGTGATGACCAAGCGACGGGCTGTGAATGGTGCATCGTGGGCGGTGCGTCGTGGTGCGTGGGTGTGGTGCGTGGCAATATGCAAATGCGCAGTCTAAAAGGCAGGCATCTATCTTACCGTGTCATTGCTTGCCGCAGCAGGTCGGCAGCGCCTGACGAGGAGTTGCCTGTCGTGTGCTGGGCCATGGTGTTTTGCTGGCGGGTCGAGGGCGCAGTGCCGACGTTGAGCGTGGAGAGGGTGGGAACAACACTGCTCGACTTGTTGCGTAGATGGTGGCGGGGTCGAATGGTCTTGGTCGAGCTCTCCGAGGCGCGAGAGACTAGTCCGGGACGTTGCTGGAGGGCATCGACAGCGGAGCCTTTGGTGGGAGGAGGAATCTTGGTGGTTTCCCGGAGACTGCGTCGAGACGGGCTGCTGGAGTACGTGTCGCTTGTGGGAGATGTCGAGAGCGAGCTGTCTGCCGGGTCCGCAGTTGGGCGTGAAGTCATAATAATCCCTTGGGTCCTGGCTTGCTGCTCCGAGCGGCCTTAGCCCTAAACAAGCGCGTTGCAACGACTGTGCGAAAACTCTGCTCTAGCACTTTAACGGGGCAGGCTGTCCGAGTCCTTCCAGCCTGGAGGCGCGCGGGCGGTGTACAGCGGTACTGGGTAGACGTGTACTTTGGGACCGTGGGAGCGCCTGGGGGGTCTCTCGGGAAGTGTTGGAATCAAGACAGGTGCTGGAGCTCTGGTGCTGCTGCACTTGATAGCAGCGTCACCGGCAAACGAGTTAGGCAGGCGCCGTGTAGCTCACTGGCAGCAATTCAATTCACGCAGCCGGGCAACGACTCTGGATACATATCACCGCCCTCTACCAGCGTGATTGCATCTGCATTGCACCATTCCCCGGCCTAGCAGCGCCGCCGATGGTCCTCTCGTCCATAGCCCGCCGCCAGCCCGTCCACTCGTCCTCCGGTTTTCACCGCCACTGTCGTCTGTCTCGGCGAGCAGCAGCAGCAAGTCTACCAAAACCACACTTGAACAGGCCATCCATCTGTGTGCGCCAAGCAGGTGCAACCCGCTGACGTAGTTATCCACTGCCATTGCTTCTGCCGACATGTCACTGGGCCGGCTTCGCCCAAACCGGCCGGGAAGAGATACAGTCCCTGGCTAAGATCTCGGAGCAGGGCCCCTTCACTGCCAATCATCGCCTCCACTGCGCCGTAGCAGGTGGAGCACGAATACCCTCACATCAATGCTCAAGCCATTGCCTGCATCAAGCTCCAAGACTGTCGTTTGAAGAAAAGCCTCAACGCTCCACCCGTGATGCCACTGGCACATTAGCGACATGTGGCCCGATAGCACGAGATAGCGTCTGTGGAGCTAGCCATGCCATTACCTATCTATACTATCTGAGCCTTGCTCGACCCGACTAATACAAACTGCCCAGGCGGCATGCAGCTATACGAGCAACATGCTCCTCTCTCATGTGCACCCTGCGTAGCTTGCTTCTGCTACATGTCAGAGGCAAGACACCCATGACATGACCCCAAAGGCTGCTGCGAATCCTCGACGACACGAGTTAGTGCTGCAAATGGCTTGCTGAAATAAGAATGACTTCATACTCGATACTTCACAAGGCTGTCATGGCCGTCATGTCGTGTTTGCTGCCTGCCGTCGTTACACAATCAATGTTCCTGCCTAGGCAAAGGGTCCTCATGATGCCCCAGCTCGGCCAAACAGCCGGCCCGTGCGGTCTATTTGCATTTCTTACTTAGCAGCGCTGCAACCACGCGCAATACCGAAGCTCAAAGCCAACACCATACCGCTGCCGCGCACCCAACCACCATGTCTGACCGCGAGTTTGGCGGCAACGACGATTTGTCGCTGCCCAAAGGTCGGCAACTTCAAACTTGCACCGCCCCGTAAATGCTAATGCGCCCCCAGCGACCGTCCAAAAGATTGTGCAAGACATCCTCGCCAGCGAGCCTGGCATGACGTTTGCAAAAGATTCGCGCGACCTCTTGATCGAATGCTGTGTCGAGTTCATCACCCTCATCTCGTCTGAAGCCAACGAAATCGCCGAAAAAGACGCCAAGAAGACGATAGCTTGCGAACACGTCAAGGCTGCCCTGGAAGAGCTGGATTTTGGCGACTACGTCCCAGCCATCCTCGAGGTGGCGCAAGACTACAAGAAGCAACAGCAGGTAGGATGACGAGGGTGCAGGCTACGCGACCACTAGCTAACGCGGGGCAGAATCGAGAAAAGAAGCAGACCAAGATCGAGCAGAGCGGCATGACCGAGGAACAGCTCATCGCTGCGCAGGAAGAGCTCTTCAAGAACGCTACAAGCAAGTTCAACGCGCCGCCTGCGCAGTAGTGCTGCTTCCCGTGAACGACTTGTACGAATAATGGCTTCAGTTGCGCGGCGTTTGATGGGCATTGCGATGGCGCGAGGCAGGCGTTTGGCTTAGATTAGGGATACATCAAGGGCATTCAGGGTGTACGGGCCGGCATGTTTCAAGCATAGAAATAGGCGTTATCCAAGGGACATGCAAGCCCGGAAGGTTACAACACGGAACTCGTAGTTGTCGCGACAGCAGATATTCTATTCTATCCGCATGCATTCACACGTACTCGCTTCCTACTGATTCGTGACGACGCGCCCAGAGCAAGAGGCGCATGTGTTTCATGGCCAATGACGTCGGGGTTGGGCCCACACCCCGCGTGGCCAGTAGCCGCATCCCACCTACAGCGCTGCCCACTACTGCCTATCTCCCGAACCACTACCCATAGCACAACTCCACAAGCCCCTACCTTCCCCAACTGTACATTATGTCGGGTCTCGAGAATGCGCTTTTCAATTTAAAGGTCAGCTGACTTGTGTCGACGCCGACAACCCCCAAGCTCACACTCAGTAGTTCACAGCCAAGTCGCTGAACAGGCAGGCGCTCAAAGCCGGCAAGGAGGAACAGGCAGAGAAGACCAAGCTGGAGAAGGTGGACAACATGCTTCCCACGCCAAAGACGTTGTACTGACAACTATGCCAGGCTATGAAACAGGGCCACAACGACATTGCACGCATATACGCCGGAAACGCTATCCGCAAGCAGAATGAGAAGCTCAACCTGCTGCAACTTGCCTCGCGCGTCGATGCCGTCGCAGGTCGCGTGCAAACAGCAGTCACCATGCGACAGATCACAGGCAACATGATGAAGGTCAACCGGAGTTTAGATGTGGCTATGAAGTCTATGAGTCCGGAGAGGGTACGCGACCTTACAGCTACTTGCGTCATGGCCGCTGACAATATACAGATCGCCTCCGTCATGGTCGATTTCGAGAAGCAGTTTGAGAACGTAGACTCGGCCACGGAACTCTACCAGGACATCACCTCCTCCGCGACCGCCGTCGGTACACCACAAGAAGACGTCGACCGTCTAATGGCGCAGGCAGCAGATAAGGCAGGTGTAGATCTACAGCAAGATCTCCAAGAAGCCACACCGGTCAAGACCAAAGTTGGACCTACCGAGCAGGAAGAAGAGGCGTTTACCGAGAGGCTGCGCGCGCTAAGGAATTGAGATTCAAACAGGATTCCCAGGGTGTATTGGAGTTTGGGCGCATCACATGCAAGTGAATTGTTGGGAAGACTAAGATAGTTTTTGAAGCAGAATCACATGCCTACGACTACCAAAGTAGTCAAGAATCAAGCCGGTCTTCATTACCTGGTTGTTGTTGCAATATATGTCACACCGCCTCCACATCATCCCCTCATCTGCATCTTCGGTTTCTCACCGGTCGCTAGGAGGCGCTGTCAGCTAAGCATCCGCAAGATCGGTTTCTTTCGGGATTTTGGCAGACGGCTTCGGCTAAGTTGCTCATCGCCCAGCCGCGTTTACCTGTCTACCCGATGGCTGTAAACACCATGAGTCGTGAACTGCCCGTTCTTGTAGGCATGCCCTGGCTACGCAATTGCAGTTTATCTCATTCTAAGCAATAAGCCTATGCACCACGAGAGACACTGTCGCTCCAATCTATGGGTGTATCGAGTAGTTTGCTATCATTGTAGCAAGACTATGATGAGAGAGGGGTGCAACGTCCTAGCTCAATGTGCCCCAGATCGCCAGCTTTGGTCGCCTTCCCCACGATGGACCCTGCATTTACAGAGACATGCCATCCAATATACATGAACATACCTCAGCCGATGCTACCCATCGCCAACTGACCTGCGAACGTCCAATGATGCAGGTTTCAAAAACATGGGCCAATCAACGAACGTAGTATTCGACTCGGTAGCTCTTGCTCCGACGTCGGTGTTCGTTCCGGGGAACTTTCAGCTAAACTCCGATATCTTTCGTCAGCGGCTGGTGAATCAAATCCCTCAACAACAACGGCTGCGCAGCTCCTGCGTTGTGAATCCTCACGGCACTTCGGTCGCACTCTAGACACGCGACGAAACAGAGCCTACCAGAGACCACAAGCGCAAAGTGCCCGCGAAAAGAGCAAGATTGAAGAGCTGAAGCTTTCACATGCAGCACAGAAAGAGAGAGTTTATCAGTCACCGGAGGAAGCTGCAATGGGGGAAGAACAAGCCAGCAGTATGAACACACCTACAGACACCGCGCCTAAGGTTGCAACACCTTCAATTGCAATTCCCAAACCCAAGCTGCCGCTGCCTGCAATGCGCACACCCACTGCCTCGACCGACACACCTCGCGAATGGAATACCTCCAAGCTCGGTCTACGCATCGGCGTCGACGCCCTCTCAGCAGGTGCAGCAGGGATACTCGTCGCACCCATCATAACCATGATTGATAAAGGCATAATCGAAAACGCAAGTGGCAGGAACACACTGGGCGTCAGTCTGAAGAAGAGTGCTGTGGAGTTACTAGCAAAACCCCACCACTTTGTGGGAAGCAAGCCCTTCATTCTCATCTTCAGTCTGTACTTTGGAACCTACTTTACGGCGAACAGTATCGATACAGCTTCTGCGACCGTGAAGCCTACACAAGGGTTACAGGAGCAGACGAGCGGGACGAGCAAGTTTCTAGCTACGAGTACAGCAAATCTAGCGTTGTGTCTGTACAAGGACAACCAGTTTACGCGGCTTTTTGCTGCGCCGGGATCGTCTCCACGGCCTGTTCCATTGCCGACCTTTGCGCTTTTTACAGTTCGCGATTGTCTTACCATTTTTGCTTCTTTCAACTTGCCGCCTCTGCTCGCGCCGAAGGTAGACGAGCGCATGGGCGAGGAAGTAAAGAAGTATGTTGGAGCGCTGAGCGTTGCGCAGTTTGTTACGCCTGCTGCTGTTCAGCTTGTGAGCACGCCTTTGCATTTGCTGGGTCTCGATCTGTACAACAGACCTGATGCTGCGGTGGGTGGTGTTGATGGGAGGGCGGGTCGCGTTGTGAGGGATTGGGCCAAGAGTGCTGCAGCAAGAATATGTCGTATTGTACCTGCGTTTGGTGTTGGTGGTGTGGTTAACACCAAGGTACGAAAGAACATGATGGGAAGGCTTGAAGAGTAGAATGTTATGGGGTTGTGCAATCGAGGACGATGGAGGCCTACGCAAGTGGCTCTGGCAGCAGAAACGACTTCAACCTACACATTCGCCCTCAAGATAACCCCGCTTCTAAACACGACGACACTACCTTGATATTGCGATCCCCCCTGTCATACTTTGGCTCGACGTATTACGATGTGTATGGATTTTGGATGAAGATACGGCAGCAACCTTTCTTGGGCATTATACGGCGTCAAGGTTTTCTTGGAACAATCTCATCTCAGATCATCAGCATGGCATGGCGTTATTGGCGTTCCAGCGATGACTATCTGCAAGCAACAATGAAGCACCATAGAAATTTCATGTCTTGACGTGATATTTCTCGCGCGTGAATATTCTTTTCTCTTCCCTGCTCACTAACTCGTTGCCTCAACTTGCTCAGTCTGCCATTATTCTAGATGGGCTGTTGTACGATGCAATGTCGCACTAGAACTAAGGAGAAATCCCCTTACCCTGAGTCTAAGCATGAGAGATGCATCATACTGCGCTAGGATAAGCCAAGTGTTCAATGCTTAGGTTTTGTGAATTCATGCGATTTTGGGCGTGCCTTGGAAGGACGTTGCTACTTCTAACGGTGACGCCATCGTCGATTCGATATTTGGAACAGTCTCGACCGTTGCTACTATTCCTGGATGTGGCTGCATGGCAAATCTCGGTTCGCACATCTCGCATGCTCGCACGGATGTTCATGCAAAACCACCATGCGCTCATCGAAGGCATATTAGCCGTTCACCATGAACTTGCCGAACCTGACAACCGGAGAGTGACTTGTGCAAACGTGGGAGTTGCATGAGACAAGGACATCTTTATACACGCTCTCTGGACGTGAGGCTGATCAGAGTAGGCGTTCAGAGAAGGAAGTGGTTTGTTTCAAAACATTACATTCGATTGGTAAAATCTCTACATGAGCGTGATAGTATCCAATTCTACGCCTTCTCGTTTCCAATACTGGCGCTTCCACCCCCTCTAGCCTCAGCAAGAAGTTGCGTGCCAACAACTTCTCCCGTACTCTTGCTCTTGAATACACCCGAGACAGAGTACAGCCCCATGAAAGGCTCATAGACATATTCTTCCTCCCAAACCTCTTCACCCTTGAATGTCACGCTCTCGTTGAAACCATTAAAGCGCATGTTCTTGAGGTAATCACCAACAACATTCGTTGAAGAGATAGTGCCGGAGTTGTCGAGAATTTGCTCTACGATATCGCCGTTTTGGGCAAGGACGCGGCGCTTGTTTGTGTTGCCTTCGAAGTTGTTGATAGAATAGAGGATGTTGTTACGGAGATCCCACTGATGGAAGTCGAGGTCACGCTTTGCCTTGGCTTGCGCAGTGTCGTTGCCTCCTCCTGTAAGTCCGCCAGCGACGTCGCCAACAAGACCAGCGGTGTCGTTGATGATGGATCCGAGGCCGTTTCCTAGCTCCGCGATAACAGGGTTGAGGTCGATGCTGTCCAGTACGTCGCTGACCATAGAGACGAGGTTACCAAGACGTGCTTCGAGATAGACTTTGGCTGTGACGTTTTGGATAAGGAGCGTGACTTTGTCGACGGAAAGGTCTACTCCGGCGTTGAACTGCAGCAACTGGAGTACCTGTGCGTCGAGGTTGATCTTCGCAGTGAGGTTGTCGACACCAATGAAGATTTCGCCAACGTGAACCGATGCGTTAAGCAGGACGTCTGGCACAGGATTCAAGGCGGAGATATTAGATGAAGACGTGTTTTCCGTCTCGTAAAGCACGGCGGTTGGGTCGCCGTCATCTCGGACATCGAGCTTGTAGCCACTGTAGCCATCAGACGCAGATTGACAAACGGCGAGAAATGGCAGCGAAAGGAGTGTGATCGTTGGGAGTATGGACAACATCTTGATTGGTGATGAAAGAGAGACTGGATGGAGGTCCACGTGCTGCTGAAGGAGCGAAAGGAAGGAAGCGACAGCTCGATGGATATCGTCAATCGACAAGAGACGGGCAAGCAACGGTTAACAGTACCATCGGTTGTAGTAGTTCGTTGCCTACAAGGATCATTGCATAGCACGATTATCCGTCATCCACTACACAAGCAAAAAAAGGAAATTAAGGAGATCATTTCCGCACATGCCATTCGACAGAAAGTCTAGAAAACCGGTAGTTCGTATGCGAATCAGGATTTCTGGGTGTTCATGCCTTGGGTTTGCTCCAGATGGCGCGGTCCAGCCTTGTACGAATCCTTGTTGTTGCTGCATAGGGGGCTTTACCCGAGATTACCGTTATGGGAATCCTTGTAATACTCCATGTGCATGATTGCCGTCTCGGCTGATTTGCAACGGGATTCCTTCGCTTTAAACATTACTTGGGCCGTGTTTGCTGATACTTGTACGGCTGTCTCGCTCGTTACTATCGCTGTCGTTGTTGTCGCTGTCGCCGCCCACGCCAAAATGTCGCTCTCTATCCGCCTACTGCTCATCAGCATTTTCCTTACCTTTGCGACACTCATTTCTGCGCAAACGGCATCACCATCAGCTGCACCATCAACCCCGCCGCCTACTAGCAGCACCCCACCGCGAGGTAACGGAACTTCTACAAGACCGCCAGAGGTTGCGCCTACAGGATCTTCACCCCCAGATGTGCTTCTCCGTGTCCCCGAACTCCACGTAGGCAGAATCGAACTAGGTGTTGAGAGGCTTCAGGCAGACCTCAACCTTAATGCTAAGGTTGCCGGTCTTGTCCAGATCAATGCTGGTGTTCAAGTCGCCGTAGAGAAGGTCAACATCACTATTGCTGATGTGGATGTTGATCTCGAGTTGGTCGTACGATTGGGCAACCTTGTTTCCATTGTTGAGCGCGTTTTCGATTCTTTGGACCTGAACCCTCTTCTCATCGGTTTGATCGGAAACGTCACCAACTTGGTTGGAGAAGTGATTGGTGCTGTGGATGGCCTTGTGAGTGTCCAAAAAACTTTTAAAATTCAACGAAACTAACAATATGTAGCTGGGATCAATCACGCAAAATGGAAAGACACTCAACTTCTTGGTTGATAACCTTGGTAACATCGTCCAAGAGGTCGTGGGAAGCGGCGGAGATGCCCTTCAGCAGATTGTCGGAAACTTCAAAGTGAGCATACTTGCACTATACTAGGTCACAACCACTAACTGAATCTCCAGCTCAACATGACCGAGGTCACTGGTAGCGCAAAGCAGGTTGGTCAGGGACTTACACAGAAGACCTTCAACTACGAGCCTCTCAACGCTCTTGTCGACATTGTGACAAACACTGCCGGCCAAGTCGTTTCGGCCGTAGTTCAAAAGAAGAACGGCGGTGGTAGCGGTGGCGGCGCGTCGTCCACAGCTTCTGCCTCTGGCACTCCAATGCCAGTCAGTCTGCCTGTCAGCTCAGCCACCAGTACTTCGTAGGCATATATAGCCTTGTGATAATGGCATAATCTAATGCGTCCTTGATGTCGTTCCCACAACACTGAATCCGTGATGCATGGTTGTGCCAAAACACTAGATAGGCTATAGATTGGCTTTTGCTCAATCAGCATAACGAGTCCAAACAACTGACCCCTGAAGCATACCTGATCGAGTCTCCATGATGTGGCATATTACTGCATATCTTTTAATCAACTCTACGTCTGAGTTTTGCAGTTTGAGATAGAATGCAGTTTGCGGCAAACGAAGAAGCTTGTTTCGAAATTAAACTATCTAAATTCATTGCTCATAGCTTCGACTTGGACACGATGAAAGAGTTGCCAATGTTTAGCCACTTGACAGCATCTGTGACGAGCTCATCGACGATTTCTCTTGCAGTCTTCTTTTCGTTGACAACGGCGGCGACCTTGCCCATCAGGAATGGCCGAGCATTGTCCATGGTCTCATCGTCGAGGTCATCACCCATCTTCTCAAGATCGTGCTCGACAGGTAATATACCCTTGCTGGTGAGCTCCTTGATCTCTGCTTGTCTGTTCTCCTCCCAGTTGGCGACATATGGGTTGTTGCGAATACGAAGTGGTCGGCCAGTGAAGATGATGGTACGGATGTTGTCGTCCCAGCCAGCTGTTTTGACAGCTTCTTGGTGTGCCTTGGGCGCACCAGCCTCCTCGGAGAGGATGAAACGTGTTCCTACCCAGACACCGGTAGCACCGAATGTGAGCATTGCAGCGAGCGACTGGCCGTTGAAGATACCGCCAGCAGCCACGATTTGTACTTGCTCGCCAGTCAAGGGCGACTTGTGGCCCTCTACCATCTTGACAGCTGCTGGGATGAAAACGGAAGTGGGAACATCTCCAGTATGTCCACCACCCTCGCCTCCCTGTGCGCAGATGATGTCAACACCGATATCGAGGCACTTCTTGATGTGCTTGGGGTGTCCGATCATGTTCATGTATAGGATGCCGTGCTTGTGTAGCTTCTCGACGACAGCCTTGGGTGGGACGCCGACGGCGGAGACGAATAGCTTGGCACCGGAATCGATGATGATATCGACGAGCTCGTTCAGCTTGCCCTTGGTGTAGTCGTAGCTGCACACGGTCAGTGTCGTGCCTTTGAGGTGGCAAGCTCGCCGAGAGAGAGAGTACGTACTTGGTCTTGCGCGCGCTACCTCCGACCTGGGGGAGGAGCAGGTCGATACCGAAGGGCGCGTTCTGGTCGTTAAGGTATCCCTTCAACTCTGCGATCTGTTCACGGAGCATGTCTGGCGTGTATCCGACACCGCCGATGACACCGAGACCACCAGCATTTGTGACAGCGGCCGCGAGCTTTGGTCCAGCAGCCACGTTCATGCCGGCAAGCATGACAGGGTGCTGGATCTTCAGCAGGTCGGTAAGCTTGGTGCGAAGTTGCTCTGAGACTCGTCAGCTGAGGAACATGTGAGTGCAGTGTGGATGTCATACGTGGTGAAGCCATGGTGGTTTGGATGGAATCTACGGCTATAAATCTGCTATGTGTGTAAAGAGTGCAAATGCGACGTAAATCAGTAGGCAAATGGAGGGAGGAGTCGGCCGCTTTCTTATGGCGCGAGGAGCGAGGAGTCTTGGTCGACTCTCATCGAGCCGTGAGCCGAGGCACGACGCATCTGTCACGCGGAGAGCGCTAGCTGCATGGGGCTTAGCATCTTCTGGGGAACGCTACCGACTACTGGCATCGCGTGCCAGTCTCTGTCCCATCGCGTCACATGCAATTATGTTCACTAATGCGTCCAAGTGTTTAGCCACGCCAAGGGCTATACTCTCAACCTGTTCACGCCCGAGAGCGCATACAGTCAGCATCGCCAACACCAAGGTGCCCAAGTGTACAATTTTTTCCGTGGCGCCTGCCCCACGCCGGACATGTGTTTCTCTACAGGACACTTACACTCTGCGCTTGCCGTATAGATTCCCGAGCTCGTCGCAGCCATCGCGGCGGCATATCTCCAGTGCACAGGATGGTGCGATTAAGGAGAAGCATCGCGCCTTCATCGCCCTGGGGAGCAACATGGGTGATCGAGTAGCCATGATTGAACGTGCTTGCCGAGAGCTGGAGTCGAATGGCAAGGTGGATATCATACAAACAAGTAGCCTATGGGAGAGTAAGGCTATGTACGTAGTCAATCAAGATAACTTCGTAAATGGTGCCTGTGAGGTATGCTACGTCTTCACTCAATTCGAATATTGAACTGACGCAAGCAGATAGAGACTCAACTGTCGCCGATTGAACTCTTAGACGAGCTTCAGAGGGTTGAAAAGAAGATGGACCGCGTCAAGATCATTGATAAAGGACCAAGGAATATTGATCTGGACATCTTGTTCTATGGTAGCACAGAGTATTCCGACGAGAGACTTCAAATACCCCATCCCTTGATGTTTGAGAGAGAATTTGTCCTGCGCCCACTCATCGAGTAAGTCAATGACATGTGTTTCCAATCAAACAATTCTGACCTTCCCTAGGCTTTTGCCGAAAGAGCCTAATCATTTTCCTTTCAAAGATAAGGTTAGGGATCATCTTGAAAGATTACCTGCACCAGATGTACCGCTAGTACCGATGACGCCACTTGCACCGGATCTATCACCTATCTCCTCTGTCCGACTGACAAACAACACGCGGGTCATGTCTATCTTGAATCTCACACCTGATTCTTTCTCGGACGGTGGTCAGAATTATCGTATCGACGAAGCGACGCTAGCGAATACCATCCGAGCACACATTGCGGATGGGGCTACGATCATTGATGTAGGAGGGCAATCAACTCGGCCTGGTGCCGTCCAAGTTTCCGCTGAGGAAGAGCTAGCACGAGTCTTACCTGCTGTAAAGCTGATTCGCTCACTGCCAGAGGCTGAGAATGTGGCAATCAGTGTCGACACATACCGTGGTAACGTCGCTGAGGAGACGATCGCCGCCGGCGCAAACATGATCAACGATGTCAGTGCAGGAGCGATGGACGATGCAATGCTTTCAACCATGGGCAAACTTGGCTGCACGGTGTGTCTGATGCATATGCGCGGCACCCCAGAAACTATGACCAGACCTGAGATGACATCCTATCCCGACGGCATTGTGGAGACCGTAGGAAGGGAACTCCTCGAGCGCGTCTATGCAGCAGAGAAGGCGGGTGTTAGGCGCTGGCGCATCGTTCTTGATCCTGGTATTGGATTTGCGAAGACACAAGCACACAACCTTGAGCTGCTCCGCCGACAAGACGAGCTGATGAAATATCCGGGCCTAGAAGGCATGCCTTGGCTTGTGGGAACGAGTCGGAAGGCCTTCATCGGGCATATCACGGGAGTGAAGACGGCAAGAGATAGGGTCTGGGGAACTGCCGTTGCCATTTCGGCCGCTATCAAAGGCGGTGCGCAGATCGTAAGGGTACATGATGTGAAGGAGATGACGCAGACTGTAAAGATGGCGGATGCACTCTGGCGAACATGAACATGACTACGCACTCGTCAGCTCTTGCTCTGCCAAAGCATCTATGTCTTTAAGATATCTAGTTTTTCAACACATGGTCACTAGTAACTGTACAGTGATACTGTAGGCTCGGCCAGCTCCAGCACATACGAGACCTCGAGGATATTCAAAACACGATTACATGATGCCCATGTATACTAGACCTTTTCCCTCTCATCTCGAGTATGCTAACATGATCAATCTATTCGTACAGAATGGCCGGCTTCGCAACCGCCACAAGCAGTATCTAATCGAAAATGAATTCGATTGCAATCCAAATCCAGATCGTCCTATGACAATGAGGATCTGGCACGAAAAGTCAAGGTGACTAAGTCTTAGCATCATGGAAACAGCAGAAATCGTGAGAAGAGTAATCAGAATGTCAGGAAGGTAAACTTGATAATATAGACACTACATATATACAACAAGGCATTAAGATCCCTCAATGCCTATTAATGGCTCGCTTTCACAAAGTTTGCAAATCTACAACTTGCTACCACCGCCCATCAACTCAGCACCAGCCCCACTGATGGCTAGCTTACCCGTCTCCTTAACCTTGGTCTGGAACATGACTGTGTTCCCTACCTTCCACATCTCAGTGATCAATGTCTGACCTGGCAGCACAACACCCGCAAACCTGACCTTGATGTTCTTGAAGGGGCCATAGGTTTGTAGTACGTGCTTACCCGAGATACCAAAGCTGCACAGACCGTGCAGAATAGGTGTTGGGAATCCACCAGCTTTGCTGAATGATGGGTCGATGTGGAGTGGGTTTAGATCGCCAGAGAGACGGTAGATAGCCGCTTGCTCCTCAGTTGTGCGCTCCTCGACAACAGTGTCTGGTGCGCGTTGCGGTGGCTTGTGAACCTTTGTGGCAGCACCACGGTCACCACCCTTCTTCTGGCCACCAAAGTTACCAGAGCCACGGATGAATACTGTGCTCTCGTTGTAGAAGATCTCCTCGCCGGTCTTTGCATCCTTGGTGACGCTACCGTACACAACCAGTCCAGCGGCACCCTTGTCCACAACCTCCACGAGCTTGGGCACAGCGACAAGCTTGGCTTCAGTGGGAATAGGGAACTTTCGGATCTCGAGGAACTGCTCGCCGTGAAGGAGCATACGAGGGTCGAAGTTGGGGACGATCTCATCAAAGGAGAAGGGAGGCTCAGCGTTGAAAGGTGGTACAACACCGAATGTGGGGATTACTTGGAAGTTCTCGTCACCTTCGTAGACGAAAGGAAGGTCGGTGCGCTTAGCGCCAATTCCGAGGTCTGGAAGATGTGTTAGTTACGAAGCTGGTCTCACGGTATGGCTAAGACTTACTGTAGAGAATGACGTCCCTCTCAGTGTACTCGAAAGGCGTGCCCTGGGGTTTAGCAGCCAGAGCCTTCTTCTGAGCCTCGAGAACCTCCTCGTTACTCTTTGTTGGCTTCTTCTCCTTCTTGTTCTTCTTACTGGTGTTCTCCATGTTGGCCATGATGGACTTGAGACCGCTGGCGTTGTCGAAGGGGTGGTCAGCACGGCCATCATCGAAGTTGGTGATACGTTCCCATTGGGAGGCGACAGCCTCAGGAGTGAGCTTTACGTCCACAGGGAAGCCGTGTCCACCAGTTCGTTGCCACCTAGTCGCAGCGAACCATCCGGAACCCATCTCATAGAGGCCGCCAGTTGGCTCAGGGGCTTTGTCAGAGACAAGGAGAATGACCAGAGGAGCGTTGTAGTCAGGCTTGAGTGCCTGAACAACCTCCTCGGGCATGATGCTGCGGGTCATCTGAGTGCCAGCATTGGGAGCAACAGTGTTGACGAAGATGTTGTTCTTCTTGCCCTCAAGCGCGAGGGACTTTGAGAAACCGAGGATACCGCACTTGGCTGAAGCGTAGTTGGCCTGGCCAAAGTTACCGTAGATACCGCTGGTGGAGGTGGTGTTGAGGATACGACCGTACTTCTGCTTGAGCATGTAGGGCCATGCAGCCTTTGTGCAAGAGTAGGTACCGAACAAGTGAACCTTGTGAATGATGTCCCACTGCTCGTCGGTCATGTTGGCGAATGCCTTGTCGCGGAGGATTCCGGCGTTGTTAATCAGGATGTCGATGCGACCGTACTTCTCAATCGCGGTCTTGATAACAGACTCGCCGTCCTGGACATCGCCCTTGTTGCCAACGGCCTCTCCACCAAGTTTTTGGATCTCCTGAACAGTGTTGTCAGGGTTTACGAGGTCGTTTACAACAACCTTGGCACCGCGCTTGGCCAGCTGCAAGCAGTAGATGCGACCCAGACCGGCACCTCCACCAGTGACAAGAGCAACCTTACCCTTGAAGTCAATCGGCTCGCCCTTGGGGTTGGAAGGCAGTTGGTTGGCCTTCTCAAGCAGTTCAAGGGCGTTGGCTGGACCTTGCGGGTGCTCAGGCTTGGAGAAGTCGACAACGTCCTTCCATTTGGCAGCGACAGCCTCGGGTGTGAGGGAGTCGTCGGCCTTGAGCAGAGCGCCAGAGGCTCGTTCCCATCGCAGCTTAGCTACGTGGCCGGCGCCCGCCTCGAAGATGGCGCCTGTCTCAGTAGAGGATTTGTGTGTGAGGACGGCAACGAGGGGAACGATCCATTCGGGCTTCATTTTCTCGAGGACATCGGGAGGCATGACGGTTTCAGTCATTCGGCTAGCGGCGATTGGGGCGACAACATTGCAGAGGATGTTGTACTTCAAGCCCTCCTTGGCGAGCGTCTCGGTGAAGCCAACGAGAGCGAGTTTGGCGGCTGTCGGGGTTAGTAAATGCTTATGTTCTCATAGAAGATGCATGCATACCGGAGTAGTTTGTCTGTCCGAAAGATCCGAAAAGACCGGCAGCAGACGCAGTGCTGATCAACCTTCCGTACTTCTGTTTCCTGAAGTAGGGCCATGCGGCATGTGCGCACTTGTATGCTCCGTAGACATGGACGCGGTAGATCAGATCCCAGTCCGCCTGTTTCATGTTCTTGAAGCTGACATCTCGCAAGATACCGGCGTTGTTGATGAGGATATCAATACGTCCGAATGTGTCGACGGCCGTCTTGATGATGGCCTCTCCGTTCTCGACTGAATCGTAGTTGGCGACGGCCTTGCCGCCAGCGGAGCGGATCTCATCGACGACCTTGTCTGCAGCCTGTCATGGAGTCAGCAACGGAGTAATAATTGATAGACTAAAGCGCGTACCGCTGAGCCCTGTCCTTCGCCCTTGAAGCTTCCGCCCAGGTCGTTTACAACCACGTTCGCGCCGCGGCTGCCAAAGAAGACAGCATATTCGCGACCCAGACCACCACCAGCACCCGTTACCACAACGGTCTGGCCGTCGTATCGCAGCTCCTGCGCAGCCATGATGTGTTTGGTACGCTTTTGTGACGAGGCTGCCTCCTTGTTTGTTGGTAGAGAGAAGTTGCGCTCGAGGAATGTCCGATACAAGCAAGCAACAAGAGTGTCAAATGTCAAATGGGTATCAGCAAAGATCCCACGTTGGTAAAGTGCAGGATATGAAAAGTGAAGATGAGAGGATAGGTGGCTTGCAGCGTGACGGATGTTCAAACTAAGGTCATTCTCGATCTGACCCGGACGTGTCTCATGAAAGCAGCCGAGCTGTTGATAATGACGATTTACCTCGGCCCCGACGGCAGTTGGTCATGTGTGGGGATCTGCGCACCGTGCACCGCATGCTTTCACATGTCTCCAACACCCCATTCTCTCCTCCTCATGGTAAAGTCCGGGGTATCATGTGACAATGACAAGAGTGTGCTCGACCTCATGCGCAGTTGCCCTACTTGTTCAGCCTTGGCTATAGAGAGTGGGTGGATGAACAGTTGCTGAGCTGATGTGGGGCTGCCAATACCGCCTCAAGGCCCGAAACACGTACTGTACGCGTCCTGGCCATCGCCACATTGGGGTGCAATAGAAAAACAGCAAGTGCGCCGTCGATTTTTGGCCCTTTAGTACATGTAAAGGCTGCAGTACAAGTGACTGTTTGTCTGGTGGATACTTACCACCAGCAAGATGCCCGACATGCAAAAACCTAAACCACGCCTTTGGAGACAAGGGGTGCTGTGATTAATACATAGGAGCCTCTATCTCTGGGTGCCTGCTAGTCTGCATCATGAAAATCACCAGACTTGCTATCTGCCAAGCTCACTGGATTGTGTGGTTGAGAGCAGCCACATCTAGGTCTAGACTTTTTCCATGATTTACATGTTCTAATGCAGCAAGCCAGCAATATTAAGTAAACACAACGCCCGGCCCGAGATTCACTGTCCATCTATGCATAGTTGATCGCATCACCGATCCTTTGCAAACACGATACTGCACCAGGATCATTCTAGCTCTGTAGCTATCTGCGTCATGCCGAGGACAACGCCAACCCAGACCCTCATCGTCACCGCTTCTTGACCACCATTTTCTCTCCCATAGCCAATGATTCCACAGCGCCTTCGTGCGTGAGCGTGCAGGACACCAGTCTTTGCACGCTGTATACGACCATCATGCGCGGTTCGGCCCGTTGACGGCTTTGACCGCCTTCAACATTCGCGTACCTACCTTACCGAGCCTCGAGGTCCTCTGCAATACGCCTATCGTAGACTGTGTCCTATTACTGCCGCTGATCAAAGAGCAGAAGACATGGGCTTAGTGGATGGAGAGAAGAAGGATATCGGGATGGGCATAGTGTGTCGGGAGCTATCATGGCCGACGTCACGCCGGTTACCACATGAGGGGTGTCCCATCGTAAAGTAGAGGGCAGAGTTTCCTTGGGCTGTAGTGGGTTGCAGAGCTTGTGTGTGCTGGGTGGCGATCCTTCTGTTAGTAACATTTTATCTGGAGGCACTTTAGCGAAACCGACTCATAATTCTGTTGGTGCGGACTATCAGAGTAGGAAAACTTTTGGTTTATGATGCCTGAATATTGTATTATTCTCTGACTGATCACAGCAAGTGGTAGGCCACGATTCTGCTTCTCACAGGAATGGAAAAATTTCGCGAGGCGGCTCAGGATGATCGTTATCGTGATACCAGCACGGATAATTGTAGGAGTGGATTTGTGGATGCACGATTGCGGGTACGGAACGCTTATAGATGCAAGTCGATATAACCCACACGTACTTTCATTCCGTTCCCTTGATCCGGCACAAATGAGATACCTTTTCCTTGTTCAAGGTCGATTGCATCTTGAGAGCCCTGGTTGAACTCGCTGCCAGGGGACGTCACTGGGTTTGATACCGAATATAATACTAGCAGACTGCATTCCCTCATCAGAAAAGAAGCCGCACGCGTGGGGTTAGTCCATCCATCCAGACTGCGTGTCGTCGCCTATCTTGCACAGGTTTTCCATTGGGTCAGTCGAATGCGCGTGGACTGTGGTGCAAGAGCACTAATTGGCCGTGTTACTCGCAGGAGGCTCGGCGACGAGTGTGAAGTTGTCGACTTTACGTCAAAAGCTCGGAGAATAATGGGCCGCATCCTTTCTGGCCACATATGTAGCAGGCCGAGCGCAGGCTACACTAGGCGCATCTTTACTAACCGGCAGTTCTGGTGTTAAGATTCATGGATCAACGAACGCACAGGGCAGCGCAGTCATAGCACTTATCCCCATAACCGTGAAGTAGTCCGGATGCTGAGGCAATGAGCGCCTCTTAGGTGCCAAATCCGAGTATTTCATATATCCTCAGCAGCCACAGGAATGACGTCGTGACGTGGCTTTCCATGGGCCTGCCCTTATCCCGAGGCCATGTCAGCGGTGTCATTTTCGAGGAGACTGTCAGCGGGGCTATCCGCCCGCCTGATGCATGCCATGCACCACGTGCTCATTAACGACCGTATTCGTACACTAGCGTAAGTAATGCCTGTTCTAATGGCGAATCGCAGATTGGGCGGCGGAATTTCTTCCGATGAGAGGTTTACCTAAAGTGTGTGGTTGGCGAGGCAGACCTAGGCAGGTAGGTCTACTATGGTGGGTCTTCTCATGTCTCGACCTACTGTAGGGTATGTACCTCAAAGGCCGGTGTGTCAGGCATCGTGGCCTATGGGATACGAGTTTTCAACGATGTCTCACGGCCGCACGATTGTCGAAGAGTCTTCGAGCAAGCCCTACTCTTGGAAGCTATAGACCCGATTGCTTGCCCCTGGTGGCAGTACGCCTCATTCTGATCCGACTACTTGCGTCCAGGGTGTTGAAATGGAAGCAGTAAAGCGATCTGCCCATCATTTTGCATCCCACAACGGATGTGGCTCTCGCCGGTCCAGTAGCCTTGTAAGCTACACATGTGACCGGATACTGGGGATCGCCCTAATGTCTAACGGCAAGCTGAAGAGATAGCGCTTGACTTCGTGGGATGAGAGGTGTCCAGGCTTCGATATCTGTGATTCAAGACGTGCAGCGACTTCGTCAGCATGCTTTAGTGACGTTTCTCTTCGCCACGATATCGGGTAATTTTGCGCCTTTGCCGAGCTGTCGTCAGCTCATAGCAATCTGCAGGCCACGAGGTTTACAGCGCCTTGCTGTCCTTTTGAAATCGTTTTGAGGTTTGAGCCATCCCTGTCACTTACCACATCCTATCTAGCGTAGTCGTTTTTCGTCGGTGGTGTTGACTGCGAGCTGTCGTCAGGTGCTCCTAAGTCACGAGTCTCTTGTCAAAGACCTCAATCGCAATGAGTGATGATTCAGAAAGAGTCAGCGTCCACGGCCGAGTCTTCCAAAGGATTTCCCTTGACGAGAAGATCTACTTCGCACCTGTAGCCATCGACGACCGCGAAGAGAGCAGACTGACCGCTCAACATCGCCTTGTAGCCAGAATCTTCGGCGACAGTTTGTTCTCCTCCAGAGTGTCAGTGGAAAACCCCTCTGCAATCTTGGAGTGCGGCTACGGTAATGGAGAATGGGCTGTCCAATGCGCTGAAGACTTTGAGGATTGCGAGGTGCGTACTTGATCATACCATATGCACAATTCAGGAGACCGGCGTTGGTACTGGCCTCGTACCGCTGAGAAGATGTTGACATTCCCAGGTAACTGCTGTCGATATATTCCCTATGTGAGTAAAGGCCATATCCGGAGTCCACCCACAGACGAAAACTGAGCCGACCTCCTATTTCTAGGGATCTCCCAGATCAACCCGAAAACTTAGATCTGGTTAGTAGCGTCCATATACGAACTGAATATGAGGCATGCTCTAACCTGGTATACACAAATTTAGATCTGCCATAATCTCAACGACCCTCTTCGCGATCCCGAACTATTCCAAGCGAACCATTACGACCTCATACACTCGCGATTCGTGTTCCCAGGTATAAAGACCGAGAGATGGGCCCGGTATATCAGAGATATGAAATTGCTGCTGAAGCCGGCAGGTTGGGTTCAGATGATGGAATTCCTGCCTATTATTCAATCCCATAACGGAAGTCTTACGGAGCAGTCTGCCGTGCGAAGATGGTGGCAGTCATATCAGGGCGCTATGGCAAGCATGGATCGTGACCCAAGGATAGGCCGTCGGTTGAAGCAGCTGTTGCTCGATAATAGATACCGAGATGTTGACGTCGAAGTGGTGCAGCTACATATAGGTGGTTGGTCCCCAGGTAAGGCCTCTCTACTGCATCTCGTATCATGTCTCCTACTGTGGCCAGTCGTGTTCCGCCATTCTTAGACCTATGCTCTATTCCACAACAGTGCTGAGAAGTCACGTATAGATCCCGCTCAAGCCAGCCTCGGCAGAGATTCTGTCGCGGTACGTATATCCGTGTTGTAGTAGATGAAATTCTGCTGACCGCACGTTCACGCGTCCAGATGATTGGTGACCTGCTCGAATCTCTTGGGCTATGGCCGTTCACATCGACTCTTGGTCGTACAGCCGCAGAATTTGACTCTCTGATGGAAGAAGTCCGTACAGAGCTCCAGGACGTGAGCCTGAAGCTATATATCGAGATGTAAATGACGACTCGTCCCAATTGATGGTGTGTGTGTGTCTAACTTGCTCCCAGATATGTCGCTACGGGTCGGAAAAGCACCCGGTAATGCAGCATGCATCTATTGACGTCGATGTAGGTGCTGCATTGCACTACGGATCTTTCAAATTGCACGGGTGCACAGGGCCGTGGTTGCGTGAGGCGAAGAGGGATGGCCAATATGGTCGGGAGCACGAGCATCTTCCTGTGGATGTCAGAACTGTGTGACGAAGGCAGGGCAGTCTACACGACTCCATCGTGTCCAGTAAACATCAACAAGCTAGTTCCGAATGCTCAAAAACCAGCCAGGCTGATAAGAAATTCAGATGTCCTCCTAACTCTCACATACATGCTTACAAAGGGTCATAGTAAGGATTCTGATAGCAGCCTTGCTGTCTTCCAAGCTTGCCAATTCCAAGCAAGCTAAGCTCATACTCTCAACATTCGCTGGGTGGGCAGATTGCGCCGACCGCAACAAGCCTGGCTTCGACGAGGTTGGAGGCATTACTCTATCATGTAGGCGGCGGCTCCCTTAAGGCAACTCCTCGGAGGCGAACGCGTGTTTGTGGCATACTCGAGTATGTCTTCAAGCTGCTGTATCGCCTGATTCGAGCGCGATGGTGGTTTGCTGGAGAGGCTGAAGAGAGTGAAAGTCGACAAGTGACATGCACGATGTCGATGCAGGATTGACACTGGGGTGCTGCTGCGTGTACACGAAGGAGGTGCCGAGGGTGAGAACTCAAAGAGCAGAGAGGGTCAAACAGATGACAAGGGAAGGTGGGGCGACAAGGGACAGGCTATGGGACGCTAGTGGCCCTGGAGAGTGTTTGTTCGATTCTAAGGAAGGAACCATCGTCCAGACCACCTACGTCAACCTTCGAAATCGCGTCTTCACTCCACAAATCGGGGGCGAGAAGCCACAAACACAGTCATCCAACAAGGCCGGGATCTGTTCGGTAGGTTTATTCGGTCTCAGGTCAATTTCCCCGACAGTCTGGTAGCGAAATATGCGCTGCGATGGGGCACTTCTTTGGCTAGACTTCAACGCCTTTGAGACCGAACAGCAGGATACCACTTCGTCAGCATTGGTTCATCTCTATTCGGTTAAAACTCGGTATGCCGAAGCCTTCACTAAAGGCAATCTGTGTTTTCTCTTACTACTAACTCAGCATGCAGTTGTTTTCACCTAAAGCACTACCACGTATTGACGTTGGGCTATCGACTGCCTTGGTCCAATATAGTTAGCAGTATCCACCAGCGTTGACCTACCCAAGACGCGTGCACCGGGGAAGCGGATATCGTCAGGGAGCCTACGCTGAACTAACGGCTTCGTAACGAGACGCTTCCATGCCAGTATTGGCGTGCACAACATTGTCTTGTCGAAATGTCGATTTGCGTTCGGTCTGCGATTCCGACATCCTGGCGATAAGCAGAGTCCGTCCCCAGAAAAAGAAATCTACGACGCCCCATCCTTAGACAAAGCATATAGAGAGAACAGCACACAATAAGACACCATCAAAAGAGCGTAGAACAATTGCTTTCTTTGTCCCCCCCTGGGTACTACATCCATAAGGTTGAACCAGGAACTTTGAAATTGAACGGCGCTTACGATACCCCCGCAAGCTGTCCGAAATAGTTTAACGGCAGGCGGCATAACAGCCTTGCGCGCGTAGGCTGGTACATGGCTGCGATCCCGGGATACGCGCGCAAGCTTCTGTTGGATCCAGACCTCGGCTGGGAGCCACAGAAAGCATAACTCGGCGGTTCCCCGATGACATCCCTCCAGGACGTTACAAACCTCTGAAGCAATGACGACGTCATCGTATCTCTTCAGATCGACTTTGCACCAGACCCACAAGCCGCGTGTTGAATCTATGCATCACGCAATGTCGCAGCAGTCCGATGAACCACCATCGTCAGCTGCGTAGATGGCAGATGCCAAATCGGACATGGCAAGCTCGAAGCTTTGAGCTGCAATAACTACAGCACAAGAACAAAAATCGAACGCGAGTAGTCAATGGTGATATGTAGAAGTGCGTGCTATTGGTGCAGCTTTCAATCTCCGGTTCATCGACAACAGTACTCGATCGAGCTGCGCAACGTGCAGACCTTTTAGCCTGATTCCCGACCAGCCACACCCACAAAGCGTATAGCTCCCGCGACCGACATCATTTCCCATGTACAACCGGGCTGGCGTCCCCCAATTTCCCCGCGTACCAGCTGCAATTGATCATGGAATATCTGCCGTCCCGAATGAGCCCTATGTATCGGCGGAAAGGAATGGCTAGTGCACTGGATATGTCCCGCCAGCCTCCGCAAACTTAGCGGTATAAGTACTTGCGTAACTCTCGGCGCAAATGTAATCACCGGCAACTAGGCAATATCACAATGGTGTCTTCTTGGTCGATTCGATTGCTTGTCGCTAATCTAGCGATCACTGGCGGAATTGCAGGGGGTTGGCGTGACGGGAAGTTCAAGACGCTGGTGACATTTGGTGACAGCTACACGGATGAGAATCGACTTGGATACTTCATCAACAACAATGGTTCTGCGCCTCCTGTGGCATGGCAGCAGCCGGTGGTAAGTCGAACGTTAGCACAACTTCCTACCTCTTGCTAAGAATACCTAGGGTCTAGCCACTGCTTCAGGTGGCCTTTCTTGGGCTCGTTACGCTAGCATCTACTCTAAGACAAATCTCTACAACTATGCCGTCTCAGGAGCTGTGTGCTCTAACGAAATAACACCACGCTACTTCTCTGCCATAAATGCACCCTTCCCGGACATTGCTGGGTACGAACTCCCTGCGTTCATCGCAGATTCCAAAGCTAGCAACGCGAATGGTACAAAGTTCTTCACTGGAAAAGCCTCCAGCACTGTGTATGCCATTTGGATTGGAACAAATGATCTTGGAAACGGCGCATTCTTGACGGACAGTCAAGTCCCCGGCAAGACCGTCGCAGACTACATGGATTGTGTCTACGACCAAATCACACGCCTCTACGAGAACGGAGGCCGCAACTTTGTCATCATGAACCTTGCTCCACTCGAGCTCCTCCCTCAGTACCAGCAGCCTCAAGACGGTGGTCTACAAGCAACACAATACTATCCCGATGTCCCTGGCAAGAACCTCACCGAAGTTCATGGCCGCATGCAGAACACTGTTGCGGCACTCAATCAAGTCTACAAGTACCGCACACCCTTTGAAGCTGAAATCGACGAACTCTGGGAAGATGCGAATGTCGCTAGTTTCGACGTGAACGCACTTATGACGGATATATACAACAACCCTGCGAGCTATCTGAACGGGACGGGGGCGCCGCTTAATGTTGAGGGTGTGGAGCATTTGTGCGATGCGCAGGGAAGTAATTGTACGAGTACGGATAGCCCGGATAGCTTCATGTGGTATGATCCTTTACATCCCAGTGAACAAACGAGCCGGATTGTGGCGAGGGAATTTGTGGGGGTGCTTGGAGGAAAGAGTAAGTGGGCTAGTTACTGGGGCTGTTAGTATGAGCATGTGATGAGGGTATAAGAAGATGGGGATCTAATGCTGATACGAGACTATACTACATCTATGCTACAAAAGTCATACACCGCTCTGCTCTCTCTTCAGAATCATGATGCGCCATTCCGTGGTTTCCGTCTTGCCATTCCTTGCTATTTTCTTGTCCTTGCACTTGCAAAGAAAAACGACACCCACTGTATCATCCGAGTGGTTAACGCCTTTTCCAAATGCTTCTAAAAAGAGACGGTCTTTACGTCTCGCACTCGACGGAACAGAAATCATTGTTGCTGTGGGTGACCACTAATCATAAGCGCTATGCTATCCCGATAAGAATCCAATAGAAGACCGGTCTTCATGTCTGACGAAGACAACTCAGCCAATTCAAATACTCCGACACCACCTCTCCAAGCCCTTGTCACCACCCTTGATCCCCTTCAACACCTCACCCACCTCTTCCAAAGCAACATCACATCTCACCATCCCAAAAGCGCCAACCTGTCCTTGTATGACCGGCATAATCAAACCCAGGTCCACGAGACCCTCCCATTCTCGTCTCGCTACATCTTTGCCCCAAACTTTGCTCGCTCCGCTACTCGAACTCAGTCCGCCAGCTGCTGACTGAATGCGGGCTCGTGATGCAAGAGTGACATATTCGTCGTAGGCCATGTTGAAGTTGCACGTGTCGGAGTCATGGATAATATCCAATCTTGCGGCAGCGATAAGAAGGGAGAGAGACAGCTGCGAAAGTGAGGGAATGAGGGATAATTTGGAATCCGGAGAGTTGAGTACGTTGGCGGGTTGGAAGGGTGTGGTGGGTGAAAGTGTCGCGGTGGGAAGGAGAAAGGAGGTTAGGATTTGTGGGACGGACTTCGTGAGGTAGAAGGACGGCGCAAGATGCTGGGTAAGGAAAGAGCGCGATGAGAAGAGTTCCTAGTAGATCATCAGCCTGGTCATGACGTCGCAGTAGTGAACTGTTGAGGAACTTACGGATACGTTGGCGTTCCACTGTGATAGCGCATCTTCTGTTGTGTCGTTCTTCTTTCCCTTCTTTGCCGGTGTACTCTTGGTACCGCCCTCTAATATACCTCTCTCTTCGACGCTCAGTTGCTCCGGCTGTATTGACAAACAGGCTTTACATGTTTCCTGGAACGCAGTAAAAGTTGTTGCTAGCCTGAGATGCACATAGCGATGGCTGAAGCGACTCTTGACTCGCTTCTCGAGACTGTTGGTCACGTCGATACGTGTCGTTAGTCCTAGTACCGCAATGGGCGCTTTTCGTGATTGTGCGATGTCGAAGAGATTGTAAAGCAATGTCTGGCGGGGATGTTGAGCGAACAGATCGAACTCGTCCATTACGAAGACGACAGCTTTGGCGACCTCGTCAGTCACTTCGCCAGTCTGTTCCGATGGGTGAGAAAGTAGAGCGAGCAGCGTCGCTAATGTGTCCGCGTAGTTTTTTCCTGGCCCGCTCCCATCCTCTTCGATGTCCATCTCCTTGCCCAGCTGACGCCAAATCTCTCGCAGTGCGATCTTGTCGTCTGTATGAACGAAGCCGTTGAGTCGTACGACATGGTATTGGCCACCATTATCTTTGGAGACTTCAGAGAGGACTTTGTTTACGAGCGCCGTCTTTCCGCTGCCCCGAGCTCCAATGACAAGCATTGAGTTGCCTTCACCAGCGGCGATGGTCTGTTCGACAAGTTGGTACACAGACTTATACTCATCGTCCAAACCAACCAGAGGTGAAGGACGTTTGCCAGTAATACGGTCCATGACAATTGTCTTCAGTAGATCAAGCTCACGACCAGGCGCCAGGTTACTGTAGATGACCGAGGGCGTGAGCTTCTCTTTCTGAGCTGAAGTAGGCTTATTGAAAGGACTCGGTTCTGTGGGGTCCAGCACACTATCCAGGAGGCTGTTCCCGTCTACATCCATTTCGTCCTCGTCGTGTCCGTTGGCCTGATCTTCCGCATTCGACCAGCGCTCTTCGTCATTGTTGGCGATATGATCGGTGCGGTTGAAGCGTCTTCGTTCACTAGCAGTCAGCTTCCTGTTGGTTGTGGGAGAGCCGTCGCCGAGTTCGTCGGCGCTCTCCGGTATGGTTGCTTGCTCTCCTACAGGCTTTCGTCGCTTGACCGACTTGGAAGGCGTCGCTGCAATTGCCTCTTCCGACTCTGATTCCAGCGCTGTAGCCTTTTTCCTTGTACCGGTCGCTGGCTTCCGTATCGAGCGTGGCCTCGAGATCTTAGTGGCCTTGGTGTTGTTCTGCAACTCATCTGCTTCTTCATCCTCTTCTGCGATAGGGCTAGGCTCTTTCTTCTTCCGAGCACTTGCTCGTGGAGCTGCTGGTTTGCGCGCAGACGCTGCTGGCTTTCGGACAGCCTTCACAGGCGTGACAGCATCTTTCGATTCGCCCTTTGCATCGTTTGCCTCTTTCAAAGCGTTCCGACTTGCGACTTCCGCTTTCGTAGGTCGCCCCTTTCCTCGCTTGGGCGGGATGGCTGTTTGTATCTCCTCCTTGTTCTGCGCAGCAATTGGTGTGTTCTCTTTGGATGCTTTCTCTGTCGGTTTGCGGGCTCGGACTGGTCGCGAGGATGCTGCAACGTTCAATGCGCCTTCGATATCATCATAGACATCAATCTCTTCTGCCGCTGCTGCACGCTTCGCCGGTGTGCCGTTTGTTGCGCCCTTGGTCAATCGACCTTTGCGTACTGGTGCTGGCTTCTTGACCTCATCCTGTGCAGCGTCGCCGTTCGTATTTGCGGCGGATTTGGTCGCAAGCCTGCCAGAGGCTTTCCGTGTCGACGGCTTTGTTGATGGGCTCGGTTCGGTGCGCTCCGAGGTATCGAGCTTTCTCCGCTTAGAAGATCGCGGCGAGTCATCCATGTCGGCACTTGGGGGTGATTTTGGATTACAGGTTAATAATTGGTTGGTGTCTGTTATTGAGAATGCATCATGGTTGTGGTATGAGGAAATGTTTCGAGGTCGCGAATGCCCTGGTCAAGGCGCGTCAATCCCCAAGTCGCGTCGCGCTAGAATTCCGCTCCTGGGGCGCCCCTGCATCATGCCAAGAGCCGTCCAGCCTAGCTTCTCCATAACAAGAACACCATCAAACATCACATCGAATTATCCTTCAACACTGCCTGTGAAGACATGTCAGATGGCGACAGTGCCATCGTCAATATTGCCATGTGTGCTCCAGTGCCGCTACCATCCATGACTCTTGCGCTTTTCCGACGGCTCCAGAGCTTAGGGCTCCCGAGCCCCACTGAACCGTACATCTAATGCGCCCTACATGTACAATTGAAAAACAAGCTAACATCGCTACTACCGACTCCACCGTGCTACAAAGGATACACATAAGTATGAGTCTGCTGGTACAGCCTTGGGTCTCGAATAAAGACACTCAATGGCTTCAACTCAGAGTACTCAGGTCGACTTGACCACTTACCCACAACAACCCTCTTCGGCTGCAACCACAGACATTGAACTATTACAAGAAAACGACCAATCCCAACCAACTAGCGACAATGGATTTTCACTTCCGCCTACTGATGGTGGCAGGGATGCATGGCTCTGCTTGTTTTCCTGCTTCATGGTAAGTCTCCTGTGCAAGAAATGCATGTGAGACACACACTGACTTCGCAACTCCACCTCTGCAGCTGGAGGCCATGATTTGGGGCTTTCCCTCCTCTTACGGTGTCTTCCAAGAATACTATGCTACTAGTGAGGAGTTCTCTGGCCAAAGCAACGTTGCCGTTGTGGGTACTTGTGCAATGGTATGTCCTAGTAGTTATTCAAAGACCAAGACTAAGACCTATCCAGGGTATCATGTACATGGATATTGCGATATGGTTCGTTGTATTGAAGTACTTTCCCAAGTTTCGCATTTGGGCCACACCAGTTGGTTTAGTAGTCGTCTGCCTTGCCTTGGGCCTTGGATCACTTTCAACGAGCATAACACACCTCATCATCACTCAAGGCATCTTATATGCACTGGGCGGTGGTCTCGCATGGACGCCAATTCTCTTCAACATCGAAGAGTGGTGGGTACGCAGAAGAGGATTTGCCTATGGAGCTACTATGGCCGGCCTGGGATTGAGCGGGGCCATTCTTCCTCTCATACTTGAGTGGCTGCTACACTCCTACGGATTCCGGACGACTTTACGAGTATGCGCACTCAGCTTCGTGGCTCTCAACTTCCCCATAGTCTTCTTCTTTAAACCTCGCCTTCCGTTGTCTCAAACATCGCAAAATAGGGGGTTCGACCTGTCGTTCTGGACCTGTTCCAACTACCTGATTCTACAGTCCGGCAATATCATCCAGAGCCTTGGATTCTTTCTACCAGCAATCTATCTACCCACTTTCGCCCGGTCCATTGGTGCAGGTAGCATCGAAAGCACTGTCACAATCATTCTTGTCAATGCTGCTGCATTTGTCGGGTGTCTTTGCATGGGAATTGCGACCGACAAGTACCATGTCACAACCTGCCTCATGGTCTCTGCCTTGGGCTCAACAGTCGGCATCTTTCTCCTATGGGGATTTTCCACCTCACTGGCGCCGCTATACATCTTCTGCATAGTCTATGGTGCTTTTGCTGGGTGTCAATCGAGCGCCTGGAGCGCTATCGTCGCAGACACTCAGAAGAAGCGCAGAGGCGCAGATTCTGGCTTCGTATGGGCGTGTCTATCAGCTGGGAAAGGCGTCGGCAACTTGTGCAGCGGCCCGCTTTCAGAAGCTCTGCTACATGCTGGTGATTGGAGTGCAGGTTTTGCGTATGGTAGCGGATATGGAGCACTGATTGCATTCACAGGCGTGACTGCACTACTGAGTGGCTGGGGTTATGCTGCAAGGAGGATCGGGTGGATATGAACTGAGGCTCTGGATGCCTGAGGATGCCTGACGTACTTTGGATGCCAATCTTTGCGTTCCGCTGAGCATACGTCACACATCACGCCTTTACCACATGCCAAACACCAGGCAGGTCTCCCGATGCTCAAGTAAACGATGTGACTGTTACAGAGCATACATGGTCGGGAGGTGTTTGCACCAATCAGCTGGCGATATTTGGTTCTTGGCGGCGAGTTACGCGTACGCATGAAACGGACCCACAAGTACCATTATACGCGATCGACCCTTCCGTGCCTGGCATCAGCATCTCGACCTTTCTCTCGAAACATGTTGGTCTCTCTATGCAATCTATCCATGGCCATCGCAGCCTTGCTTTTATGCTGATTACCGGCTTGGCCAATGCTATTCATCTGTTCACAACGCGCCTATGGCTCGCACAATAATTCTATTGGACCGCAAACGAAACTACAGAAGTGATCGGCATGAATCCCGTACTATACTCTCCGAATCATGCTTGCCAGATGGGACCTGTCGCTAACCCGCAGAGATTACTCTAACCCTTCGGCGCGTCTTCGCAAAGGCTTGATCGATCTTATCTGTAACTAGCAGGTCGCACGGGCGTTCTTCTCCAGCAATGTCAAACGACTGGGCTTTCTGGGGCTTGCGGGAACCAGGTTTTAGATGAACGAGTTGTTGATCACGACTGGAAATCTCCGGACGAGGATATATACCTTGGATTTGGCCTCATGTTGGATGGCCATCAACCAGTTCTTCACAGACAGTTGTCTCATACACTCTCTTTGAGCAGGCCTTTCTTCGCTCTTGTCGTCATTCTCTAGATATCCTAGCGGTATACATACATTCTTTTGGCTGTGCCACCATCTTTGCTATCAACATCGCCTGTCTCTCTCTGTCTCAAACACTTCTTCTACATCTCGTATCAAAGACATCACTATCAAGATGAAAAACGCCGTCATCCTCGCCGCTCTTGCGAGCACCACAGCGGCTTACCCGTTCAGCGACTACCTCGACGCCATCTTCGGCACCAAGGAGTCCCGTCATGCTCCTCCTCCAGAGCTGATGCCCGGTTTCGCCCCAATCGGAACCGGCACAGCATCTGGCATTCCTTTCCCTACAGCAACAGGAGCATTTCCCATCGACGGTATGCCACCTGTCCGCCACCGCGTCCGAAACTTGGCTATCGACTACCAGCTCGCCCCAAGACAGGGCCCCGGAGCCGGCAGCGCGCTACCCAGCTTCTCGTTGGCGGAGCCCACAGACGGTACTCCCGCTCTGCCTACAGAAACGGAGGGAGGCTTCCCTGGCCTTCCCACAGGACTCCCCACAGGCCAGCCTGACGCTCCATTCCCATTCCCAACGGGTGGACCCGACATGCCTTCCCCTACTGGCGGCTTTCCCAAGCCCCCTGGTGGACCTGATATGCCTTTCCCAACCGGTGGCTTTCCTAAGCCACCTGGTGATGGTCCTTCTCCATCAGACATTCCTTTCCCAACCGACCTTCCTTTCCCCATGCCCACCGGTGGCTCTCCGTTTCCCTTCCCTGGTACCGGCATGCCTGGTCTGCCCACTACAATGCAGACTCTGACTCGCGGTCCCCAGCCCACGGGTATGCCTAAGCTGCCTGGTTCGGAGAACGGCGAGCAAGGACCTGGCGATGACGCCCCAGGAGGCTTCTTCGATTGGCTCAGCAGCCTGTTCGGCGGCGGCAAGAGTGAGATGAGCTCTTAGAGTCATTGCTTTCATCACGTCTACCCCAGAAAAGGGAACGTGGTGAAGAAAGGATGGAACAGTGTGTACGACTAAGACGTCTTGATGGCGCGACATTTCAATTCTTTCCACATACTTTATACACTCACACTTGATCCCAAAACATAGAGAAACAACAATGTACGCCATATGCTTGTCTCAAAACCTTTGCACATGCAGTGAAGCTCTCAAGACTCGAAGATAGTATGCCCTATTCTATTTCAAAGACATCTACTCAAAGTTATAGATAAAGATCGTAGTGAAAAAATTGATCACCGCCGTTGAGGGCAGTGACCGGGTATCTTAGAAAGCCATATCCTACACTATGCTATTGAACTTTTTAGGTTCCCGCACCATATCTTTCGTGACGGTCGTCGGGTTGAATAGACGCCTCCCAGATGCTTGTGCATGATTGCAGTGCAAATCGTAACCTTTTCCTTTCAATGCCAACCATAACCGATATACGCCAAAGAACAAAGAACCAGAGATTCGCGCTTGTTGAAATGAAAGAGGTCTGCTGAAAGCAGGAGCTCTGTCGCGTAACTTGTTGAACACCAGACTAGGAGCGGAGATTTCTTAGAAGAAGACTCATCTCAAATTGGTCTTGGCGTGTTGAATGCAGTAAGACCTGGAGTTACGGAAGCCTAGTTGGACATTGCCAGGCTTCTCATGCCGTTGGTGACCTCGACAGCGGCTGCTTTGGCAGCATCGATTAGGCTTGGATTTTCTTCCTTATGGGGTTCAGCTTGCTCGCCGTTCGTGCCGTTGGTGTGGCTACCGCCGTTGACTACCTTTGTCGCTTCGTCTCCGTTTGCGCTAGGAAGATCAACGCTGGGGTTGACCAGCGGCTTATCCATGTCCTTGACTTCTAAACCGTCGAAGATGGGGAAGATGCCACGGGTTGCGTGGAAGTCGTTGTGTACTGCAAACAAAGCATTAGTAAGAGAAATGTAAGTGTAATCGAATGTACTTGCCGATATTCAGGAGGTACCAGGTGTCTACGACGTCCTGGATCACGTAACGCGATGGACTGACACCTGCATGGCAGTTTGCCCATTGCTGTCCAAGGCGGTAGAATTCGTCCTTCCAGGCGAGGAAGCTCACTGTTTCAACAATGGTTGGCTGTACGATCTCCTTGCCTGGGAAGACACCCCATGTAACAGCGTTCGGTCCTTCGTTGGGAGCATTTGTCTTCAAATCGCCATCCTTATTCACAGCATAGTAGGTGAATTCAGGATCGCGTTCGAGACGCGTGATGATCTCAGAGATGTGTTCCGGAGAGACGAAGACCTCCAGGTAAGCCTTTTGGTAGACATAACCATTACGCGGGCCCCAACCAAATACCGGGTCTGAAGACTTGGCTCCATTGACAGCAGGTTGGGAATTGATGGTCAGGAATCCGCGGCGGTTCAGATTGATCAGATCGTCCTGGATAGACCCAGCTTCGGTCGTAATGGGCTGTTCGCTCCACGGCAAAGATTCGAGCTTTCCTTCCATATAGCGTACGAAGAGTTCGGATAGATCTCTGATCGACATTGGTGTGCCCCATAACTTGATGTTCTGCTCGTTGGTACCCTTCAGACCGATGCCGTAAGAATCCAACTCGCCAAAGGCAGGTGAACGCGAATCTCCCCAGCGACCGTTAGGGAACTCGTCCCAGTCTTGTGTGCGAGCAATGTAGGATCGGTTGCGGTTGCGCCAGAAGATTGGTCGTACGTTCTCGTCTCGTCGGTTGAGCGCCAGCGAAGGCCGCCATGGAAGAGGCTTCTCTAGTGGTGACTCGGGGTCGGGTAGGAGGTCTAGCTCTTCAAGGACCATGCGGGTGGCTTGCGCGAGATTCATAGTGTAGCTATATAGGTATGAGAAAGATTATCTTCTTGTGACGAGGGGACGACTTACAAGTGCAGGTGTGTGATACCAGCGTCGATCAGCTTCCGACACATTTCGGCGACTAGATGTTTGCCGACTTCACGCACTTCGACGTCATCGTTCTTGACAGGCTCCAGGGCCTCAGTCCAGTGCTTCGGGATGTTGCATCTCGTCCATTGGGCCCTCCGTAGGAACGCGGCATGGGTGTGGATGGGCATGATACCGGGAATGATGGGAACGTCGATGCCCTTGGCACGAACCTTCTTGACCCACTCAAGGAAAAGGTCAGTATCATAGAACATTTGTGTAACAATGAATGTTCCTCCGGCATCAACCTTCTCCTTGAGATGGTCGATGAGCTCGTCGACATCGTCATTGTCGTCGCTGCCTTCGGAGTATCCCGCCACACCGATGTCGAAATGGTTTCCGTACTTCTCCTTGATGTAGACGACGAGATCCTTTGCATAGCGGAAGCCACCTGCTGTTGCCTCCCACTTTTCTCGCTCACGTGGCGGGTCTCCCCTCAAGGCGAGGATGTTGGTGCAGCCGGCATTGTATGCGTCTCGGAGGGCGTCGTCGAGCTTGGACTTTTCCATATCGGTACATGTAAGATGCATGCAGGTCTCGAGGCCGTAGACGGATTGTGCGACCTTGACCATCTCGCAGGTCAACTTGGAGTGGCGGCCACCAGCGCCCCAGGTAAGATCGATGAATTGCGGACCGAAGCCATGCATGCGGTCCATGCGGTCGTAGAGGTTTTGAACTCCCTATGTGAAGTCAGCGTCTCGCTTGTCGTGTCGGGGGTTATGAGGGTATCGTTACCTGCGCTGTCTTGGGCGGAAAGAATTCGAAGGAGAAGGTCGGCTTGCCCTCCTCCCTCGCCTGGAGGAGTTTCTGAGAAATGTGCATGGCGGAGAAGTATGAGACTAAGTAAAGGAAGAGAAGAGAGGAAAGAGAATCTGCGTCAATTCTTCGCAACGTTAGTGAGAGGACAATATGAGGAATATGCACCCCGCGGTGAGCTCAGGGCGGGATATGCAAGGATGCTGCGTACTGCGGTGTTGACCCCCCACGAGCTATCCAAAGTATCTTTTGCGAGCCCAGCGATCTGCGAGTGTCCGCGACATGTACCACTGTTCTCTCTTGCTGTCAGTCAGTGAGCGGGAGGGTTAGTGATGCGTTGATGTGCAGTTTTCCTTAGCGGAAGGTCGACAGTAAAGAGGTTAGCGCAGTACGGAGGAACAATCGGAGCCTCGCCAAGCAAGGCGCATTTTCGGCGACAAGCCATGACTACGCTGCAGGTGACACCAATTGGAGAACGCGTGGCTATGCGTGACATGTGGTAGACGCGCATCATTCACAGAAGACGGTGAAAGCACTGCAGCAAGTCGCAAGTCGCGAATCGTGCATAATATAATGTGGCATTGCATGTGGTGATGGGATGTGGCATGAAAGCCCCACAAACGTGTCCGTCCCACACCTGTCCCCTCCACCGATGACGGGTTTGCTTTCCCTTCCCCGGGTTTACCCTTTACGGTAACCCCGGATCATCGTTGTTGCGCAGCTCCAAGACGTCTTGTTTCTGGTACATAGTACTCGTAGAGTGACTGCTGGACAGCTTCCTCTCTCTCTCTCTCTCTCTCTCTCTACACACATACACGAACCGCCGCTGCCGCTGCTATGCCGCCTATCGCTCGACCCCGCCGCCTCGTCGGCGTCTCGCTGAAGATGTACTTCGACCTGCCCAGCACGCTCTCCTACATTCGCGGCGTCTTGCAGCTCGACGGCGACGCCTGGAATGCGCGCATAGATCTCTTCGTTATCCCCGACTTCGTCTCCCTCACCGAGTCTGCCCGCATCCTCGAGCCCTCGTCCATCATCCTGGGCGCGCAAGATACCTTTTGGGAAGACAAGGGCGCATACACAGGCGAGGTCAGTCCACTGGTGCTGCGCCAGGCAGGAGCAAGGATAGTAGAGATTGGCCATGCTGAGCGCAGAGCCGCATTCGGTGAGACAGACGAGACGGTCGCGAACAAGGCTGGTGCAGCAGCGAGAAACGGCTTGATACCGCTGGTGTGCATTGGCGAGAAGACACACCACAGCGTCGCATCGGCAGCTGTAGGTGCAGCTATACAAGAATGTAAACCCCAGGTCATGTCAGTGCTGGCTGCAGTACCGGACCATACCGAGGTGATACTGGCTTACGAGCCTGTGTGGGCCATTGGCGCAAAGGAGCCCGCTGATCCCGACCATGTTGTGAATGTGACAAAAGAGCTTAGGAAGATGGCTGCTGGTAGGACCGGGACCACGAGGATTGTCTACGGAGGGAGCGCTGGGCCCGGCACCTTTGCCAAGATTTCCGAAGGCGTTGACGGCTTGTTCTTGGGTCGGTTTGCGCATGATATCAAGAATTTGAAGAAGGTCATTGAAGAGGTGGGCGGGGCTTGAGGGCCTCGGAGCATCATCACATACCGTGCTGAAGCTCTCAGCTTCTTTCTGTGCATGGAGAAGAATCACATTCGGGACGGGGTGACAGACTGAAGGTTACGGCCGGAAGAGATTACTTATCTCCTCGGCATCACCACTGGCTTTGTCATGTGTACATGCTATATGAAGAGCACGACGTCCGCAGGTACTATCATTGGTATTGGCTACCAAAGTACTCCTTCCCATCTACTGTGAGAGCACGTCCAATACTTCTCCAATCGTCAGCTCTCTTCTCGAGGTTGCATCGTGCTTGACTGGTGTGGAACGCATGCCTTCCGCCATCACAAACTTCGTCTGATCATCGTTGTACACACTCCACTCAACGCTACCATCTGTACCTCCCTTGATCCTGATGAACTATCTCAAACTCAGTATTCAGCACTAGGCATTCGCGGCGATTTCTATGCCCATGCTGAGCTATGGTATTCGCGAAGATCAGGAGATGCCAAAGACAGAAGAGAGAGTTTTGAACGATCAAACATCCGGAGACACCGACGATCCGGATCGCCTGTCGCTTGTCCATCAGCTTTCGGCATCTCAACACTGGAAAGCACCGAAAACCTCCGAGCACTGCCGGCATGAAACCCTCAACTCCTTATGCACCACGCTATTGAAAAATTGTGCCTTTTTTACCTCCTAGACCAACGTGACATGGCTTTTGATTGGAGCGTCGCGTTACATCCGTCGATTTCTGATAGTTTGTACGCAGCAGGAGAATGTTTTGTGGAGCAATTGCGAGAAGATGTGAGTTTAGTGGACACAATTCTCCATCAGAGTGGAAGCTATCTCCTGCGATGCCATCCTCCACAAAGTCCGAATGCCAGAGAGGGGTGCGGCATACGCCGCTAGTATGCTGGGTTGCGGTCCTACTGGGATGTTGACGGTTCGGGACCACGGAAGATGCGGTCTGCGTCTTGGACAGCTGGCAAACTTGCCTATTGCCGCCTACGAAGTCGCAACAGTGCGTTAATCGGAACGATATGTGGAAAAGACTGTGCGACTTCAGGTCAACCGGATTTCTTTACGAATTTGAATGAAGCCAGCAGCATCCAACATTACAAGCAGAATATCTTGTATCAGATCTCAACTCCTACTCGCTTCCGTTAGGAACCCGGCTTTTGCGAATGGTACCTAATTCCCGAGGCTTTACTATGGTCAACTGAATTGGGTTAGACATCATCATATGCGGAATGTCTCCGTCGCTACCATTGGACTCCTCCCGATACGTTGTCGGATGAGCGCAAGCTACTCGCCAAATACCCTACACCTGGACGCGAGTCACACTAGATTCTTATGCCATCATGCGCACCTCGGTAGTGAAACGCGGGGGCTGAGGTCTATGGGCTTTTCCTTGCATTTCGGCGCTATGGGAGTGGCTCATCGATCATAAGTTGAACATACGATCAACACACGACAGCTTTGCCGCACAAGGCCGGACTATCTACATTCTGCACTGACTCGAGTTAGTCGGTTAGATTGTCCCCGTTGTACAAATCTGCAACCTCCACGATTGCAATATTACACCCCAGCATACTCCAGTGACGTTGGTGCAACCTGGCCGCAACCTTGTCGTTATCTCGATTACCATCCATGAGATTGCAAAACGAAATCTCATGCATATCTTTGAGATGCCGTGCGCGACATGACGTTTGGGAATAACGCCTGCACCACTCATCCGGATCTAGCGTTCTTAGCACGTTTTCCCCGCAAAGCCAACCCCATTAGTGACGGCCCGACGATCATTTAGCTCCAAAGTCTAGGCTCCGCACGCGTCCCCAGCATTCGCGTGCTTCATCTCCACTCGACTCCGCAGAACCGATCTTACGTCCTGGGGTTGCTGATCCCTTACTGGTTGTTGCTGCATCGGGTCATGATCACGTTGTGACTTTGAATGCGTACCATTGCCATTGCGACCGTTTTGGGTATTGGGGTCGGCGAGGTCTTGTCAATGCGGCGAAACTAAGAGTATGTGAAGAGTTTCACAAAGAAACATGATGTTTCTCGTAGCGTCATTGATATGAATCTGACCTCCTCCACCCGTTCATACACAGGTTCGTCATCAGCCTTATAAGATGCTCAGACGGTATCGGTGGTGGTGTGTCCAGGGCGTACAAAGTAACTGCACGAGACGCCACTGCTGTTCCTAGGGGATGCGTCGGCAGGGAAGCCACGTCCGCAGCTAAGGAGGCACTCCTCATGACTCCGGCGAATCAAGACCTGGACGCTCCCCAAGCTCTAGCCTGGGCAGATCTGCCCTCCCGCCAATTCGACTACGTGCATCAAATCCAACGCGGAACCGCAGCGGTTGGCCCTCAAACTCTTGTTCTACCAGGGTGGCCTGGCTGCACCTGCCACATAGTCGGTGATGATCCCTTGCTTTCGTCCGCAGCTACGCTTTCTTGGAATTGGAATCCGTGCCTCAAGGTTTGCGGAGCACTATTGTTACCTACACTCTTAATGACCATTGTGTGCTCCCTATATCAACCCTACTCTCCGGTTCCCTAGCCTTCTATGTCACGTTACGAGACTTCAACATCTACTACCACGTCCTCGACCGGTCATCATCACTACGATACCTCTAATTCTAATAACAACTCCAACGGAAGCGGTCTCTTTGACAACCACGTCGCGTGTATGACTTCCAATCACGATCACAAGTACGCAACGAACGACGCCCACCTCGGCGCGACTACAGCTAGAGACGCAGAAACTCTATCAGCTGGATCAACTGCGAGGAACGAGTCGACAACTAGAATGATGGACGGGCCCAACGCTTTGGAGAAAGACTTCTCTCGGCAAGAACGTAAGACTCTTTTGCGGTATACACATTCATCTTTTACTAACCTTCTCTAGCTTACGGCAATGGATATGGTGGACAAACGCACCTCGACGCCTCGGTCGATTCTGGTACTGCATTGCATCAGATCCGAACAGCGGGTAGTATCTCGATCTCTCCAGAGCTATTTGAGAAACTATATCTGTCACCACCGAACAAAGTAAAAGGAGATCTGCGGAAGACATTCGGTAACCCGACGCCTCTGTATGTTCCTCCTGCATATACATCTGGAACTTCGAATGCTTACTTTGGGTAGTGCTCTCATCGGCTTCCTGTTGTCCTTGCATCCTTTGAGCATGACCCTCATGGGATGGCGTGGTGCTGGTGGAAGTGGAGCAGCAAGCACCGGATGGTACTACTTTGCGGGTGGTCTGCTCATGATTCTCGGTGGTCTTGGTGAAGTACGTTGCTCTCAAAGCCTTTGAAGACTCTCTCTGACAACTGATACAGTGGATTCTTGGCAATACCTTCCCCTTCGTTGTCTTCTGTTCTTTCGGTGCCTTCTGGCTTGGTTTCGCTGCCACACTCCAACCCTTCTACAACTCATATGGCGCGTACGCCAACGCGAACGTCGCAGGCAGCACAGGCCTAGAATCTGTTGGCTTCAACGTCGGTCTTGGTAAGTCACCCAAGAAGAGATGCAGAAATTCGATTCTGACCATTTTCACAGCATATTTCCTCATAATGATGGGCCTTCTATGCCTAGTCTACCTCATCTGCTCCATCCGCACGAACTTGATCTTCTTCCTTATCTTCTTCACTCTTGTGCCCGCTTTCGGCCTTCTGGCGGGCAGCTATCTCCAGGCTGCAAACGGTCGAGCAGCTCTTGCTGCCAAGCTTGCTGAGGCTGCTGGTGCATTCTGCTTCGTTACCTGCCTCTGCGGTTGGTACATCTTCTTAGCCATTATGCTGGCTAGTGTCGACTTCCCTTTGGATCTTCCTCGTAAGCCTGCCGTACCCCAATTAGTCATTTGCTCGTACTAATGTGATGCAGTTGTCGATCTTTCGAGCGTAGTAAAGGGCGCCAGCGAGAAGCGCAAGGTGGACCACATGGAGTAGATACCATTTCGAAGAGGAGCACTCGAATCGTAGGAAGTTTTAGGAGACGAATGTGTCATGCTGATGGTCGAAAGACCAATCGCGGATTGAATACCAAATCGAGGCCGCGCTATGCGGACCAGATACTCGCGGTGGAGAAGTTCTTCTTAACCTCTGTGTGGGCGAAGCTTTTCTTTCGCTTTTATCATACAGTGGTAAGAATAATAGTTCTCAGATTCATACAGGAATTGGTAATTATGCAAAATCGTGACCTTGTAATTCACAATCCATTCTCGATCTGCGTTTTAGGGGAACTGTCGCTACGATGCAGGAAATGGTTGTGTCCCTTGATTCGCATCGGGTTCGTCTGAAGCGGCAAGCGCAATCCGTCGTCTCTATCCTACAGGCTCCATTCAGAACAACAATTTGTACGAGTAACAGAAATCGGAAAACATGAGACGAGCGTGCCACGGAGGGCATAATATCGCAGCCTTGTTCTGATTGTCGCCGAGTACTGCATGAAACTCCATGTAACAGAGTTGACAGGTCTGACACTTCGTAACGGGATTGCGGGTCTCTCGACCGGCGCTTTTCAGGCGAACATGTGGTGCGTGCGTATACATATAGTCAACTGAACTGGCGAACATGTATAGTACTTTGTGTACTAATACTTACGACTTCTCAACGACACCTACTTCCAATTACCCTTTAATACACTACGACGTCACCCATTATGATTTACCCGGTGGAAGTAGACCGCATGCAGGACACACGGCACAACAGCACCACATCGTCCCGTCCGCGGAGGCGAAGTACTTCATCAAGTCACTCCTCGCAGTCGCAAAACTTCTCTCGTCCTCACCTCCAACCAATACCCCGAAAATCCACTCCAGAGTCCCTGCCCCTAAGAAACTCATCCCCAATTTCACATCAAACAATCATCGTAACTTCAAAGTCGCATTCGGCCAACAGCAAAGGTCACCTACCCGTACGATCCCATTCAAGAAGACCACCCAAAATGGCAACTTACTTTCTGACGGGGGCCAACCGGGGCATTGGCCTGGAATTCGTGCGCCAACTCGCTGCAAAACCATCAAACACCATTATCGCAGGCGTCCGCTCCAAATCAGGCGACATCTCGGAACTAGAAAGCCTGAACAACAACTCAAACATCCATATCATCGAATGCGATGTCAGCTCCCTCGATTCTCTCTCCAGTATCGAGTTTCGCGTCGCAGAGATCCTCACCAAAACCGGTGCTAGCCTGGATTTCCTCTTTAATGTCGCTGGGATCAACGCAACGAGCACCGATACAAGCTTGACTCTTGACCCAAAGAGTCTAAACGAGCACATGCAGACCAACGTTCTGGGCCCCGCCAAAATCGTCGAGAGCCTGAGAAAGTCTCTAGCGAGAGGCGCGACCGTGCTGAACATGAGCTCGGGATTAGGTAGCTTGACGGTTGCGACAGACGTGACGAAATGTTGTACCTACAGCATGAGTAAGGCGGCGTTGAATATGTTGACATTGCACCAAGCGAAAGATTTGAAGGCGAACGGGATCAAGGTCATTTGCATGGATCCTGGTTGGGTGAAGACGAGAATGGGTGGAAAGGGTGCGATGATCGAGGCCAAGGTCAGCGTGGAGAGTATGTTGGATGTGGTGGCTGGGCTCAAGGAGTCGGACAGTGGGAAATTCTATCGATACGATGGCGCGCCTGTACCATGGTAGATGAGAGAATTACTAGGCACAGGACCGTGACGGCACTTGGGTTGATGTAAATACTTGAAGACATCATGACATAGCTTGCGAACCATATAACGCTCAAGAATATATCACGAGTGAAAGAATGATGCAGAACTTCAGAAGAAACAGTGATGTAAGGCATACTTTATATTGCATCTAAAGCGACAGTAGACTATAAACTTCTGGCTCTGACTCTCCATCAGGGTGTGCAGCCAAAACAACCTCGCCTTTCATTCCGCTACAGGACACAAATCATAGTTTCCAGCGCTGTTATTACCCCACCATTGCGGGAACGGAATCGCAGGCCCTCCAGCACCAAAGACAGCAAATGACAGAATGAACAAGCAAGTCAGACTTGCGCCATCGAAGGCACCTGCGATCAAGTAGGAGTAGTCCCTGAAGATGCGCGGGCGGTAATTGCGAAGGTAGAATTGGGTGAAGAAGCCGACAATTGTCCAGCTAAGAATCACGCACGTCTGACTTTGGTTGTACGGAATGTAACCGGCGAATTGAATGAACTGAGGAAAGTTGATCTCGCGGAGGGAAAAGTTACCGATACGCGGGACGAATCGGACTAAGATACGGTGCGCGAGGACGATAGCGGCGCCAATGAGAAGACCCAGGGGCACAATGGAGTAAGTCTTTCCTTGCTTGTATAGATAGGCGGCGAGCGCCCAGGTCGAGGCGTTGGTGTTGTACGACTGGATGGTTGCGCCGCTCCACGATGCGTTGCCGTCGGTGTCAGCTAGGAGGTGTTTGTTGCCTGTGACGATTGAGATCATGACGGCGTAGTTGATGAATCCACCTAAAACAGTGCCGTAGATTTGCGTCATGAACATGACGCGAGGAGGGATCTTGAGGTATTCGCCCAATTTCAGATCCATACTGAGCTGGACAGCACTATTGATGACGTTGTGCGACCACGCTGCGAAGTACATGTTTCCAATCGGGCGTCCAGGCAGGATCAGTCCAGCAATGACTTTGGACAAGTTGTTGGTTGCAATACCGTTACCAAAGCGAGCATAGAGCAAGGTACTCTGATCTTTAGTCAGCTAACATCATCGATCAACAGGCTTCGAGTATAAACTTACGAATGGCGAAATGATTGTCCCCATTGCCAGTGCAATGACATAAGCCCAAACTGGGAGCGTAACGTTCTCTTTGATCACAACGACAAGACCCAGCACGAAGCTAACAAGGAGTACAACAAGATACCACCATTGCGGCGCATCCTTGTAATGCTTGGCCATGTGCGCGTGGTGGGGATCATCAAACTTTCCTTTCTTAGCATCCTTGAACGCTCTGACTGTATCGCCACCCCAAAAGAGAACAGTATGAGCGACCAGTGCGCCAATCTAAGGGAGATCAGCACCCAATGGTGTATGTTAGAGGTAGAAAACTCACTGCAGCATTAGCCATGAACATGGCATAGGCAAAGGTACCCGTGATTCTCGGTAGACCGTATTGTAGCAAGGCTTTCTCATCGAGAATGCCATCAATGAAGACGCTTTCGCTTGGATACTGTTTGCCATCCTGGGTCAAGAGACGTGTCGACATGAAAGGAAGACTCCTTGAACCCCAGGCATTACCGTAGTAGATACCAAGCATGACGAAGAAGCAGACTATGAACCCGGCTGTCTGATGCAGCTGGAACTTGAGTGGGAGTGATGATTGGAAGGAAGTGATCTAGATGAGGGTCAGGATTCATAAAGTACAAATTGTGGAGAGGAATTGCTCACGTATTGCCAATCGAACGAGATGCTGAACCAGCCTAGACCCTCATTATTGGTAGCTCCGCCGAAGAGGTTGGTTAGTATAGCTGCCTTGGACCCAGTCGCATGCATAGCAGCCAGACAAGGGATCGATACGGAGTTCAGCCATGGGAATATGTAAGCAGGGAAGAACTCGTAGAGAAACATGCCAGAGAATGCGATCCAGAACCACCGGAGTGGCTTGGAGTCCTTGACAGTCTGCCAATGGAGACCCTGGAGCACCTTCACCGTGGGAAGACTACTCCAGTAAACCGAATCAACGTGCCAAACGCAGATGGGACGCATTATACCACAGATACCATAGCCGAAGAGTCCAATAGAGATGGTGCTGAAGATAACAGTGATGGGACTCAGAGGCATATCGTAGAAGAGGTCGGATGCCGCGAAGACCTGACTGCTAGGAGCTGCGATCGACGCAGAGGTTGCAGTGATTGACGTGATGGCGTGCTCCTTCAGATTCCACTCTCCGTAGTTGAAAAACGACATTATCGTGATCCATAGGGGTGTCTTGCCAACTCCGCCCTTTTCTCTCCACCGAGCCTCGAATTTATCTCCACGTGGTAGCAGCTTGACCCATCCTCTACCGAGAAAATAGGCCATAAGGACGATGAAGGTTCCTTGGATGGTGATCAGGGTGGGCTTGAACTAGAGTACATGTTAGCCTCTGCGATCCATGTATCAGGACTGTAGACGTACCTGGTAGATCTGAAATACAACGGCTTGGAACGCGGACAGAATAGAGGCTAAGAAGATACTTCGAAAGGTCACCGCAGGTACGAAGTCATCTCTCAGGGGCAGTAGGTGAGCAGCTGCGTCAGCGCCAGTAACGATGATATGGTCTTCACCATTGTCGTCCTTCTCTTGCTCGGACGCATCGTATTCGGGAAGGACTGCCTTGATCTCGGGCTCCAGGGCAACCTTCTTCTCGACTTCTCCGTCATTGACAGCAAGGCGATGCTTCTCGTCGCTGAAGGCGTTGATCGCTTCGTGGCTGGGAGGACTGATCGCTGTGCCCCCAACCGCATCGGGTTGGCCGAGAATCAACACATCACCAAGAGGATTTGCAGCCATAGTTGCGCGTGGTAGATCGTTTGATTCTCACTTCGAGGATAGAGCGGCGTTTCTAAAATATACATATGATGCTTCTAGTGCAAATGCGTTATCGTCGTCCAACCATGTGTGATCGCAGCTAGGTCGCGCGCAATAGCACGCCAGATAAGGCCCCTGTTCCAAAAAGCCGTATGGAAGCAGTTCCTAAGTTTAAAAAGGCAGGTGTGCTATACGAGAAAGCGGCCGGAATCAAAACAGTATCCAAGGGCCATGCGGCACGACGTTGGTGGGGCGAGAGTCCAACTGATTGTGCGACCTATAGACCTTATCACCTGCTCTTCTCGCATCAACTAGGATCTAGAACACCCGGCACATCAAGATTGGAGTCTACAATCATGCCGCGGGCGAGAGGCAACGAGTAGAACAAGGGCTGTACTGTCCCGTGTCGGAGATGGCTCTCCGAAAGGAATTATCTATAGTCAATTGTGAGCACAGCATGGTGGCGATCCATGAGAAGCGAATGCTGGTGCGATCAAACTAGATGGCATCATTCGCAGACACGATTTCGAATGCACCCGGGTGAAGGGTTTGCCGTGCTATGACCGCGCGGCAAACCAATCGCGGCCAGACTTGATGTCGCCGAACCGTACTGCACTCTATGAGAATCCATCGGCGATATTATTACGGAAGTTGTCCATCTCGTGCGATTGGGGCACCGGGTGTATAGCGATGTTCTTGAGCGCGCGACGATAAGCGTTGCCAAGTTGGTGGCGCCGTCTTGGTCAAGCTTGTCTACAACAAGATGGACCCCTTCGTGAGTTGAGGCATACGCAAGTGGGCGGCGTTTTTGCGAGCAGCGGAGTCGTAGCTCATTTCGTCGAGTACCGTGGTTAAGGCCGCAGTGGCACCTCGGTGGGGAAAGATAGGCTGCCGGTCTTCCGAGGTCCTGTTATTGTGCTTCCCCAACGACACAGCACACATGTGTTGACAATGTCGACGTAAAGGTTGGGGTTTTCCAGTGAGTGTAGGAGAGACGAAGTGTACTTGCGCAAGGGCTTAGGTGGGCTTATACTCCGTTCTAAAATCTGTGCTGACGTTATGCTGACAGCTTGGCGTCTGACAGCATGACTCATGTTGAGTGAGAGGCACTCCTTTTAAACATTGGGTGGCTAGAAGACAGAATCGAAACCAATTTTTTGATGCGCTGGCATATAGTCTACATTGAGAACCCAACTGCATGCACCAAAACGTCTGCAAGGAACGGGTGCATACTTGTAATGCCATGACAAAAGCTACAGGAAATGTGGGAAAGAGAGCACTACAAATACCAATTTTTATAATATCCTGAGAGATTTTGTGAGCTTGTCTTCTATGAAGATTGATCACTTATCATGTATAAGTGAAAATCTGTGTTGTAGAGTACATCTCTACGTAACAAGAGCAGATGGTTCCGGCTATCGTGATATGACTAGAGGCATTCGTAGTCTTCCTCATCAGATCTGTCACGTTCGTCACATCCACCATGTCAATGATGTATGATTCGGGGTCGCGTACAATTCAACAAGTCCACAAACACGGAATTTCTTTGGTGTTGCTATGTTTGAAGTCTCGTTAATCTAGGCCCGGGATTCAGACTGGAGTTCTTTTGGAATGCTTTGACAACCCAGGTACTGTTGTGATAGTGCTACAGAATGTATCAGCTTAACTCCATCTTTGTTGATCAGTAGAGCATTGTAGTGCGCTAAGTATCGTGGGCAAACTGCTCGAGTCTATCTACTACTATGCTTGGGCGAAACAGTCTCGAAGCTTTCATTTAGTTTCTCCAATGTCTCAATGCGTGCGTTGTCAATAGTGATATCTCCCTGAGCTTTCACTGTCTTTACCCATGAGACATACACGCCCACAATAATCTAATCACTCAATATAGTCCAACCAAGTCACGGACCCCTCTTCGCACATATAATTCCAGATCCCTCTCGTTGTCTTCTTTCTCCTGCTCCTACTCAACATCACTATGTCCATCACCCACGAGCGCGACATCAACGGCCTAGCCACCCTCTCCGTCATTGCCAAAGCAGAACAGTGTCACAGCGAGCTCTCTTTCTGCATCCCAACATCACTCGCATTCGCAAAGCGTTTGACATGGGAGCAAACCCCTTGGAT